GAGCACAAACAAAAATAAAAACATTATAAGGCATTCCTTAGTGTGCATTTTGCAGACCTAAGCACCTTATGTGAGAAATAAATATCATAGTGGATATGCATGTCAGAGCGCAGCAAGAGCAGGGCTGCTACAAAACAGAAAATGAGTTAGAAGCCAAAGGTGATCATAGCACAGCGTCTTCAGCAACCAAGGCACCGTCCCACCATATCTGAATAGGATGGGCAGAGTAGTGTGCTGATAACAAGGTCCACTGACAGTCCCAGAAAAAGTGAGGTGATGAACCAGGTCCAGGGTCCATCCCAGGATTCCAGTCAGGAGCAGCAGGAGATGGAGGCAGATACAGAGCTGGAGACAAGACTGCAACATGGGTCTGCTGGAGACACAACTCTACACAACTCAAAGCAAACTACCTACAAGGTAGGTCAAGGTCCATGCAGAAAACAAGGCCAGAGGCAGGACTTGAAACAGGTACACTGACAACATAGTTCAGGCAAGGACTAAATGTCCAGGCCTGGGCTTAAATGGAGTGCCTGAAGCAAGGAGCAGAGAGTGCATGGGTGGGGGTCCAAGGCTGGTCAGGGCAATTAAGGCCCAGTGGTGCACTCAGGACCCTCACAGTGCAGTCTGTAACTCGAGTAAAGATACATCTGAAAATCTGAGACCAAGCCAGGCCATACAATTAGTTTCACAAAGAAGCCTTACTGCACCATGACTTCAGCTACATTTTACTGATGAGCGAGGAAGGTCCACATAAATGCCTAAAAGCTTTGCAAAAGATCTGAAATCCACCTTGGGGAAGAAAAGCTTACACTACTTCACATTCTAGAACCTCTCTTTGGAAAGTGACTCTTTGGAATGAATCATGCAAGGGAAACAGCAAACTGCTGCAGAAATCTGTACAGTTGATTTTTCTCAATATCAGGCAGTCACGAAGATGAGGGTAACTCATCATGTACCTTTGCCAGCGAATGTGAGCTGGTACTACAATTAAGTATTTAGTCAATATTCTAAATGCATTTAACAAAGTGAAGAGGGAAACACTTTGAATTGATAGTTTCCTCCTAACGTAGTGAATGAAGGAAACTTCCATTCTTCTGGATATTTTAATGCACAGAATTATCTAATCTACAAGTGGGAGGAAATGAGAAATCGAAGGGATCCAGACTGGTAAAACAGAATTAAAAGCTACCATGTGAAACTTAAGTGACATATGAACATATTAAAGCAGCTGGTATTTAGTCTAGTCTGCCATTTTGGGTTGTTATGGGTTTACTGTGTAAGGGAGTGGAATTTTCCTTAATTCCTACGTTTCTGCACTCTTTCTATACATTAGTTTTACAGCACTGGGATGCTGAAATATATCTGTCTCTCACTGCCCCATATGTTCATGAACATAGTCACTAAAAACAGGCGGGACTGCAGATAAGGAGGCTTAGTGTATTGGAATTTTCTGATATGTCTAGCCTGGGTGATCTATAGGAGTCACCAACTTGTGTCATTCCAGTCCAGACTTTCCCAAAAGATTAAAATTAAGTGGTGGAGACAATAGATACAGATCCCTATGAATCATTGTTAGATTCCTGACTTCAGAATGAGTTGTGATGTCTCTAAAATGCATTCAACAGAGAGACAGCAGAAGGAGGTAGAATGGTAAAGTTTCTTGTGTCTTACAGACAATTAAGAGTCTACAATGTTTCATCATAAAGAACACAAACTCCTTCAAAAACTGTAAGCATACATCAACCTTTTGTACCTCCTGATCATTAAATGTTTGTCTGACTCTTTCTTGGTAATCCTAGAGCTGGTAACTGTAATGTTCTTCTCATTCAGAGTCCCATTGCACCTCAGTGTTCACTGCTTCCACTTTGGACCCAAGAGAAAGTATGTTTACTTGTTCTCCAAATAGCCACTCTTTTAGACAAGATAGACTTAAATAGCTCTTCACAATGTCTTGGAAGTTGGTCAAAGGTCATTATCTTACCCTAATGCATGTATTCATAAAGCCTCGTAGTTCATTACCCTAACCTGGAAGAAGAGTAGCCAGAGTTGGTTCTTCTTCCAAAAAGATCTACTCTCCTTGGTTCTTTATTCATAAGTCTGCTTTGTAGATTGTCTGGAGCTTTTCTTAGCTACAGTTATAAATGAGGATAATGCAGAAGTACAAAAATATTCCAGATCTTCAGATGAAATTTTACAAATCCGTGCATTTCAAAGCAAATGAAGCAAGAGTCTGAGTAAATCCAAAAGTCATTAGCAGTGTCCAAGATTCCCTCATTTATTGGCAAGATGACCTGGCTGTGTGAGGTTGGCTGACAACATCAGAAAGTTAAAATGCCTTTTCTTGTACCACCTTCAGAGGAACCCATAAGACTTTCTGGCACTCTCTGAAGCAATCTTGGAATGCCTCCAGATCATCAATAGTGAAAGAGACAGACAGATTCATAGCTTTATCCAGTAAGGATGGTGAAAATGGAAGTTGCAAAATACTCTCATCAACTTCAAAAACAAAAGAAAAGATAAGTTAAATGAATTTCACTGGGGAAAAAAATGTAGTTTGATAATACAGACTGAATGGAAAAATTCTTGTGGAACTCAGAGCAAAAAAATCAATACATTCAAAACCTATAAAGCTGCAGGCCAGGTTAACATGTCTGAAGATTTACTCCAAGGAAAGATCAAAAAAGAACCTGAACATTCTGCTATGATTTCTCAGTCAATTATGAGAAAAGGAATGCATGTCAGAAGAATAAAAAAAGGAACCATCATCAAAGAAAGTGAATAAAACAAACAACTAAGAGTCCCAGGGAAATTGTGCAGAGTTACTCTGAAAATGATTTCCCATGCTTTCAACTGCAGTTTTCAAGAGCACCATGCTGGAGGTTTTTTTCTTATTTAATCAGAGTTTCATACTTTACAGTATCATTAAATAAAGTAACAATGGATAGAACTCATTAAGGGCAACAAGCAGATTAAACAAAAGCAAAACATTTTGCACTGTGGATGTCTAGGGCAAATATTTAAAGCAAAATCAACAAACAATAAAGTTGAGATCTTGCAGTGAGTGTTACTACCCACAACACTGTAAACAGTATAAATGAGAAGGTGGACTTACCTTTGCTATATTTCAAGAACACTGGACAAAGATTTCACTAAACAAACCCTATTCTGGCAAACCCAAAGCAGAAATAAAGAGAGGTCATTCCAGAGGGATCATTCAAACACAATAATGGCTGATGCACCAACTTTACAAATCAACAACTTTAAGAGATTGAAGGTACTGGCCCACCATAAGATTGTTTAGGAACTAATCTCTCCTGTAAGCACCCAACAGTGCAAGGGATGGACTGGATTTGATTGGACAAGACCTATGAACAAAAAAAAAGGCAAAAGTTTTCAGTCTGTGTAACTTTATAGTAGACCTAACACTTCAGTGGAGACTTTTTCCAAGTTCAGATAGAGCTTTCCAAACGCAGCCATTTCAAATTTATTTATGTGAAAAACACCTGGAGAACACATTAGGAAAAAGTGAACAGTTTTCCTCCTTATGAGAACTCAAGAATGGATTTTAAAATACAGAAGACTCAATCTCTGGTCTGAGCAATGAGAGAAATTTTCATTTTTAAAAATTGGTTTTTTTTCCCTGAAAGTTACTAGTAAGTGAAAAATAATTATTTATTTTCTCCATTTCTTCTCCACAATAGTTACTACCATTGACCACTGTGTGATGTGTAACAAACACACACATATACATAATACCTAATAAGTACCCTTAAATATGTGTCATTAAGGACTTGCATTACTGTTTTGAAGTTTGGCTAACAGAACTCAGTGGACACTAGAATACGACAACTTTGCCAAATTAAATATAGAGCAAGAACATACATAAATTATTCCCCTCTTCCCAGGACATATTCATTTAATTGATTGCCCAGATTTTACACTTTAACTATTTTACCATTCACCTGGTCTACTTATATTAGTATTTAGAAACAAAGAGACAGATAAGTGATCTGTGAAAACCTTTCTACTTTTTCATTACTCTTCAGCAACACAGTGTGAGCAACTTATTAGAAAAACATAAGAAGGTAACAGATTCCAACCCCAGCAGTCTCTAGTTTCATTACTTTCTGACATTCAGTGCAGGTAATACAGCAATGCTTTTGGCAAGAACATACATGCCCCCTATAGGTTTAATGTATTCTTACCGCAAAGATGGAAATAAATGAAAGGATCATTAAGCATTTCCTAAATAGAAAATTCAGTACTAGAAAAATTATATTACATTTTTCAATAAATATATGTTTACATACACACAAAGCAAATATGAAATTATTCTTTAAAATTTAAACATCCTCCCTGTCCAAACCCCTTTTCTTTTAAACATAATTCTTTTAGCCTGCGCAACAGAGATTGCCCCAAGTATTTCGTTTCCTGAGCAATGTTCCCTCCCAACCATTCTATCCTTTTGTCCCACAGCTTTCCCAAGTACAACACTGAAAGGCTGATCTTAAGGGTCTTTTCCAACCTTAACAATTCTATGATTTTATTCTGAGTTTATGATAACATATTATGCAAATTTATAGCACTACATGCATGATTTGTAATTATGTTGTTACAATTACTTGTATATTTTAAAAGCTGGATCATAAATTTTACCTTCTTTAGCAGTCATGACATGCTGTTTTGGAAATACCATTAGCATTCAGTTCAATAAACTATTTTATATATACAATTAGATCTACAAAGGTAGGTAAGACATGGGTGATAAATCTTGAGCATATAATGGCTTCCACATAAATAACTACAACTGAGGAACCAGCATTTTGTTTAGTCTCTTAAAATTAGTAAATTCCAATTAGCCTTTAATTTTCTTTTTTAAAGGTCTGACTGTAGTTCTGATTCCACATCCAAATTTCTACTGGTATATCACAGCAAGTGTAACAATTCTGAATAAAGATAAAGCATGGCTTTTTATTCCAAGGTACCTAATTCAGCCTTACCTCAGTGTTCTTAAATCCCACAGTTTGATGCCATCACCTGCAGCTGTGGTCATGAAAAGATTGTAAGCTTCGGGTTGCTGAGTGCTGAATGATGACCCCTGTAAAACATGAAATCAGTTTCAAATAACTATTCTCGTGGCACTAAATATTTATAGAATCATAGAATATCTCAAGTTGGAAGGCACCCATAGGGATTATCGAGTCCAACTCCCTGCTTCTTGCAGGACTACCTAAAACTAAACCATATGACTAAGAGCATCGTCCAAATGCTCCTTGAACTCTGACAAGCTCAGTGCTGTGACCACTTCCCTGGGGAGTCTGTTCCAGTGACTGACCTCCCTCTCAGTGAAGAATTTAGTCCATTTAAAAAATAAGCAATAAATATTTGTTAGGTTATGTGATAAAAAGCTTGTCTGCACACACACACAAAGGAGCACAGAGGAAAGTTGGCATGTGGAGGAACCCCCATAATCCAGCCAGAGAAATGGAGCACTGCCTTGACTCCTCTCAGTGTTGTCCTAGGACAGCCATGAGCCCTTTGGTCCAGGGGTGACACCCACCATGATGAGTCAACAGCAGAGGCTCTCTGGGTTATCTCACAGACTGATGAAAGATAATTTTGTTATTGCACAAGACATTATGGGGTGTTTAGGGGAGGAAATAAGGGTGAGGAAAGGGAGGAATCAAAGTGGTTTGTGGAGGAACAAGGGTGGGAAATAGCAGTGAAAGGGAAAAAGAGGAGCCAGTTGTGTGTAAACAGACTGCTGGTCAGTGCATTTGGCCATGCCCTGTTTATGTGAATGCTGAATGTTTCTGTCTCTGTTGATCTGTGTGGCCAGCTGTGTGTATATGTATACATGTGCCAAGCGGGTATACAAACTCAGCCTCATTTCTGGTTGGAGCCAGAGGCAGGTAGCTACAGCAGCCTCAACTCCATTGGGCTACTGGATTCAGCTACTCCTAACAATATTTTATCAGAACTTCAGAAGCATTATTTGGCTTTGCGTAGCTGACAAGATTCAGTTCACACAGACTTCCTGGACCTATGGTTGCTATTCATCATTTCTTCAGAAGATGGCCCTTCAAAAACAATCATTCCAAAATGATATCTCCCTATAAGGTTCCCTACCTTAAGTTCACATCTGTTTGCAGTCATTACAAGGTCTTCAAAGAAAGGTTGATGTTACCATAATCAAAATCCTTTCAAAGCAGTAGTACCTCAATACTTTTCCAGATCCTTAAAGGAAAGTTCAGATTATATTTTCTATGTTCATTCAAGACTGCCTTATTACTGGAGGGCAGCAAACCACACCAGGCATTAATATTGCTCAGCTTCATATCAAGGAAGTTTCGTGTTGTCAAGACAAACTAAATATTTTATACTTTTTCATAGACATACCCAAAATATTGATCAGCTATACAAATGTGAAATGATCTATGGCCATTCATTAGCAAATCATAAATTCCATCAGCTAATTAGAAGACTACCATTCAGACAATGACTATGCAGTTAAAAATATGTTCACATTAAAGCAGAAGATATACATATATAATGCAAGCTGGGAACATTCTAGCAATTTCTAATTTAAAGTTACTTTTTTTTGGAGGGTAAATATAATTTTCATCTACATGAGAAACAAGAAAAGTACAAATATGAAACCTTAAGGAACTATCTTGACAAAGCCAAACTACATAACACAGACAACCAGAGTAGTCCAACATTTTATTATGTCGTGTTTAGCCCTGGCATAAGTGGGCACACTTTCCATTGACTTCAGTAGCAATTGTATTCATTCATAACAGGACTGATTTTGGCTTCATACCTTTAAATAATTAAATCCAGTCTATCATCTTTAAACCTCTGATTTTTTAATGTCCACATTGGCAAATCCTGGCCTTTTTGCTGGCTACAAACTTCTTTCTCTAGGGAGCTAAATATAAACAGTTAAAACTCCTTCTTTGCTTTCCCCAACATTCACATTCTTGATTTGGCTGAATACATCACAGAAACCTCAAGGCCATTTCCTGCAATCAGTGCGTCACTGCCAGGAATCTTCTATTCGTTATGAAAACTGGTATATAGCTGGAAAATGCTCTAGTGTTTAGTTAATAGAATTCCTCAAACAGCAAGACAAAGTGGGGCACTCAGCATTAAAAAGACTATAGGAGCTTTCATTTACTTTGCTTTAAGCAGGTTTCCTTCCTAAACTAAGGATTACCACAGCCTGCTCTAACAGATGAACTAAAATGCACTGTGCAACAGATTTCCCAACAAAGTCTACACATTCTCACATTAGCTGTGTATAACCATAAAAAAAAGAGTAATTGTAGAGACAGTAGTTTTCCAAAGGATCGTATTCATTTAAAGTTACAGAGCACCCTTTCTTTTTGTGTTTTTGAAACTTCTACTCACCATCCCTTTCTTCAGTCAGTAATGATCGCAGAGTCCAATACAAAAAGTTCTACAGACACATACACATTTACTTCATGCACTACTCCTTTACTTTAGAATACACTAACAGTAATGCAAGTAAGAAGAAATGTAATCCCTTTGTTCCTTCCCTTTCCTGACATTTTGTCAGTAATATACTTTACTAATATAAAGCTATACTTGTATCTTCAAACTACATTTGCTACTGAATATGCTGTAGAAGAAAAGAAAATATATACTATTTGGGATAATATGCAAGCTGAATTTTATTATCCCTCTGTGTTTTTATAGTCCATTAATTTATGATAGTCTGTAATTTATGAGAATCTAATGCAAAAACTAGCATATTCCAACACACTCTTCAAACTATATTCTTTCATTCTGTCAGACAAATCACTTGCCTGTGCCCCATCATCTTCCTCATCCACCACTGTAATCCCTTCTCAGCTTCTATCTAGACTAACTACATTGCAACTTCCACATAAAATTTGGCCCCAAGGACATGGTTCAACAGAACCCCTACCTCATTCACTTAACTCCATATGAACACCATTGATATCATCCAAACAGTGCAGCTGGCTTATACTAAGGCATCGATCAACAGATGTCTCAGAAAATGCTCCACATCTTCCAGGCAAGTACATACCTCCAGACAGTTTTGTCACTATGGCTAGGAAAAGCTTAACTGACTGAAACATCTGAGTTTCCTATAACATTTTTCAGCCTTCACATCATGTACATTTCCTAATTAATGGACCAATGAATTTTGAAACAAAAGGGCCTGGGCAGAAAACTAGAAACTTTGTTGTTTCTCTGAAAATGAATGTAATCTATAACTGTGTTTGCCAGAAGAACATAATACCATCCAAATATTTGTGGTTGATACTGATAGATTCCTGTTCAAAGAATATGTTTTGCAGCACTACAAATGTATTGCTATCACTAAAGCTCTGAATCTTTGTGGTCTGATCTCAAATTGCCATCTATTTCTGTATCTCAGAGGTTCCTAAACTCTAAGACAGAAACACAATTTTGCTATTTCAATCAATTCATTTTACTATGTTTCTTAAAAGTTAGAATGCAATGCAATGGAACCCTGAAAAAACACATAATACTTTGGTAATCATTGACAATCAGTTTTCCTTAGGTGATCTTATGTATCAAACCAAAATCGTCAAGTTGGAAATCACTGGTTGAACAAAGCAACTTACAGCAGTGTAAATCCATTATTACCAGCTTAGGATATTCGCCTTGTCAGGCTTGGTATAAGATGGCTAAAGGCTACTTATCAGAGTGAGGTGAAGCTACTACAGCCAGAAGAGTGACATTTGCTCATTGCCTCAGAAGGAGTTTGATGACATCACTTGGGTCTAGTAACACCCTGTGCTGAAATATCATAAGCAGTTCTGAGAGTAGGGTCTGGAAACCAGACACAGGTTCAGGGAAAAGAGTGGAGGGTCCCTCAACACCAGCCTGTCACTGAAGGGTGGGAGATCGCCACCAGTTTCTGCAGACTGAGGAGAACAATGAACCTCTTTCCCCCAGCTCCTAAGCAAACACTCTGAAAAGTAAGCTATTACATGAACCTGGAGCAGTATCACCACCACGTCTCCACAGGACCATGTATTTAGCCCAGTTTTCTGATTAAATTATGCTTATGCAACTGTACTGTCTGCTGATTCCCATCCACAATTTTTTTAACCTGCTTCACTATATTTAAATCCAATGACAGAGAGATAAAGGTCTTATGATAATTTTACATTTCTACGATACATGTAAATGAGTAACTAGCAGACAATGAACCTGGAGCAGTATCACCACCACGTCTCCACAGGACCATGTATTTAGCCCAGTTTTCTGATTAAATTATGCTTATGCAACTGTACTGTCTGCTGATTCCCATCCACAATTTTTTTTTAACCTGCTTCACTATTTAAATCCAACCTGACAGAGAGATAAAGGTCTTATGATAATTACATTTCCACAAGATACATGTAAATGAGTAACTAGCAGACAGAAATTCAAACCAGTACAGCCATTAAGGAAAGTGATTTTGTTTGACAAGCCATTAACCAATCAACATAAATGTAATTTGGAACAGGTGTGCAGTATGGCACGCCTCTCAGTCAACTAGTAAGAAGGACATGACAAGAAGATAAGGTTGTGATAGGGAAGGAGTGTTTAGGGAACAAAACTGAAAGTGCATGTGGTGGCGAGGTGAAGGTTATAAAGAACACAACAGTCAAATTGAGTTATTGTGGTGGATTTGGAAGGTGATATTTAAGGATACAGGATTAAAATACTTTAGAAAGGATGCTTAATTAGTTTTGTTGCTGCTGGAAGAACCTGTATACAAAGAAAGATAAGCTTTGTATCATCATTATATGGTATGCCCCGAGCACTTCAGGGGAATTTGGTGCCAAAATGCTTTTTAAGGAAACAAAAATACACTGAGGTTTGGAATAATAAACATTAATATGCTCAATTGAATCAAGATTATAGACATTCTAAGCAAGCAGTGTAAGGCCTAAAGTTCTGCAAGCAATTTAATTGTGTAACCTTTAATCATATATGGAGCTTCAAGAGCTAAGCATATCTTCTGTGGTTTCCTCTCCTGGACTTTGGTAAGCTAAGTTGCACTATTTTGGATCCAGGACTAAGGGTTCTTTATATATCAAATCCTAAATAACTGTACTAATCTAAAGTAGATGACAAATGGGAAGTAATGTACCACAAGTAATACAAATATATAAACAAAAATCTGGTAGTAAGCACACTACCCAGAACAACTTCTTCCCTAGGTGGGTTTTTTTCTGTTATGATTTTGCCCAGCTTCCTCTTTTCCTTCTACTGTTTTTCTTCATCCAATACCTTAAATTTGTCACAGCTCCATAAGCTTAGCTCTAAAATGGCCTTTTTATAAGTTTCAGAATATCTATCTCCCATCTGAGAGATGCTTGCTACATTCTTGCTCTGATTTCCCTTCTCTGATGTTGACAAAATAACAAAAATTCACAACACAAAATACTGTTCTGTAGAATATAAGGAAAGACCTGAAGAAAACACAATCAAGTCACTGAAATACTATAGATGGAAAGGTATAGTGTGAAAATATGTATATATCTATTAACATACATATATATACAGTATGTATATAGAGACATATATTACTTTCTATCACTGTTGCAATTTAAGGTTTTCAAATCAAACGGGGTAGTATTAAGACATTTGGCTATTCCTACAGTTAACAAAGATAAAGAAGGCAAGATTAAGTACAGCAATATATACTTTCCATCATGATGTGATGCTAGTGTGCAGATATATTTTCACTGTATTTATTATTCTTCATCTCACTATAAACATGTAACAACATAGGGCACCTTCTTACCTGGTGCAAATATGGAAACTACTGTCTTTAAAGATTTACCAGCCAAGATTTTTTTCTTACATTTCTCTCTGCTCTGGATCACAGTAATGACTATTTTTTCCCCAGCTTCCTTGCAATTCTTATAATTTTTCTTCAGCATGATACTATTGAATTTTTCATTTCTGAAGTAATCCTTTGCATTAAAAGCTGAGTGTAAAACGGGAAGGCTTTCTAACTGTGCTACTGCATGTAATTTAAAGATGTTTAGAATTATTCTTCATACTAAACCAGAAGCCCCAGCCTTTTGGGAGTGAGCTTTACTGATGCTGCTCTCTTCACTTCCCTGCATCCTTCTTCTCCCTCATGGCCATTATCTTCCCAAACCTAGTTTCTTCCAGTCCTTGCATCTGTCTCCTCTGGAACTTTGCAAGACACTGAGGTTCAAGGAGGTGAGAAGGGAAGACGTAATCAGGGCAAAGGAGCTCTGGGAACAACAGTAATCTACATGGTTGTGGATAACTGGAACAGTAGCCGGGGGGAAAGAGGTTGTAGGATGTGGAGAAGTGAAGACTCATAGCTGCAGAGGCAGAGCACCTGTAATGATATAGAGAGATACAGCCTAGATTCAACTGGTGAAATAGGTTTGGAGATGTAAACTGGCCACGTGGCACAGGATCAGAGGAGCAGGCTTCAGCCATAGGTTGGTTATTCTGGAGCTCCAGCAAAATGTCAGGAAGCTTGAGGCAGTACTGTCATCACAGAGGCTGCCAGTGAAAAAGGCAGAAGAGTGACAAGATAGAAGACAAGCTGGAAGCCCCATCTGGTTGCTGCCCGTGTTCTTGTCTCCAGTGAAGAGGGAGAAGAGTCAGTAAGAATGGGCAGAACCACCATCAGATTCACACCTCACCTGAAAAGAATGACCACTGGCAGCAATTTGCTAGCCTACAATAGCAAACACTCCATGTACTTATTCTATGTATGGACCCTGTATGAGTACCTACTCATCTGCAATGTTTCACAAAGTGTTAACAAGAACAGAGATTACCTTGCATAATTCAAGCTTTAGATAAGGGACAAGTTTTCATCAACTGTACTTCCATCTGTACAGAGGCTGCAGATTGAATATCTCAGGCAAGGATACAGTCTGATTTTACAACCTAATCATGGTCAGGAAGATTCAAAACATTCCTACGAAAGAAAGATAAGCTGTGGCAAGTAATGATTCAGTAGGGTGGTTTATCATCTTCAACATACCATTACTGGATCAAGGCTTCATCACACTGATAACTGCCACTGCAACAAGGGATGTGCTATATTCTATTAAATGTAAAGTGATGGTTCTGACCACCTATGGTCATTAGATAATTTGGGGCAAGTGGGGAAGGACACTCAGTGATGTTAGCCGGTATATTTTGGGCAGATTTCAAGAGGAGCAACTATAAAGAATTCTACTCTGGCTTCATTGAAGTTACTGCAGATTTTGATAAGCAAAACAAGGGTTTCTTGATTGAGAGACAGAAGACTTTTACATTAATTTTATTTAATAGGCCACAGAAAGAGATTTCCAAAATTAGACAAGAGAGTGAGGCAACAAGTTCTTAAATTCAGCTGATATTGAAATGTTGGATGTTCCTCTGAACATTTCCCTATAGCGCATTCTGAATTTCTGTAGTGTCATAAAAATAATCTGTGACTATCTTTACAGAAACAGCAGCTTATATGCACATACAAGTAATATGACAAATTTATTTAATTTTCACTCCCAGTCTATGCTTCTTGATTAATAAGTCATAGACATACCAATACTTATTATCTTTTAAATATATTTTCATTTCTAGAGTATTAAAATCCTAAAAGGATACAGGAATTACAGACACCCATTAAAATGGGTGTCCCATCACATCATCTTCTGAGATACACTTTATAACAGTCAGTGCAGCCAAATCTTTTATATGAATATACATATATATATATTTGTAATATTTTCTGCTAAACTGTTCCGAAGGAAGATTCAGAATACTGTTCTACTATACATCAGACAACGTCTGCTGTGAAGAGAACATATTCAAAATGATATAATAAGCTTAATCAAGTACACTGCAGGCTGAGATGAATTTCACACATTGCCAATTCTTGCAAACAATCTCTAGAACAGACCAAAAGAACAATTTAAAATTGAAGTCATTATATTACAAATTATGTATACTTGCTTACAGCTACTGCTGTCCAAAACCAGAAATAACAGAATGTCATGTTGTTCACCTATGTTGCTAGAATATGCTATGTATTTAATAATTTGCTAACAGGTTTCTCCCACACTTTGTTAGTGTTTTACAAGACCTTCTAAATAGATTTTTTTAAATTATTTATTTAAAGAATAAATCTCCTGATTGTCCCCAATTACTACTGTCCAGGTAGCATCACAAAGCAGTCTTGGAATGTGGGAACTGATCTGCATGAATGTAAACCAGAAAATGCACTTCAGGAATGTATATATTGCAATCACTAATGAGCATTCAGTCCACAAGATGAGACTAGGGCTAGTCCAAAGGAAAACCTTCATAAATTTTGTTCTGTAGTCACTGGATCTTCAGCATCAACTGTTTCACTCCACAGATTTGCTTCTATTGCACCACCCCTCATCACTAGCTAACCTTAGATTCCAATGTGTTTCACGCTTTAAACAGCATGTAATTTACACACAGCATTCTGCATATTTTTATGTCTATAAAATATTTTAGCATATTATCTTAACGTAAATGCACTAAATTATATTTACTTTAACAGCTTTAGATTATACAACTGTAACAAAATAGTTGCTGTGTAATTTTCCTATTGACTTATCTAAAGCATTAATTTTATATAACTGAAAAAATAGAGAACCTTGATCTATAATTTTCCCCAAAAATGGTCAATTTTCTTTGCTATACCACATACCTCTAGATTTTTTCCCAAGTTAATACTTGCCCACAGCTTTAAGGTTTTTCTTGATTAAATAACCTGAAGCCACTAAGCTGACCAAGCAAAAAGAAAAGCCAGAACTTTAAGCCTATATGTGTTACAAATAGTACTGAAAGAGTTAGCACGATTTTAAGTGTTTTAACAGATCATATCTCTCAGGAAAACCCACAAAGCTTCATACAAAAGTAGTAATAAGGAACTGTTTTAAACCCACAGAAGCAAGGACTTTCCAACTGGGAATGAAGAACCATACTCAACCAAACCTAACACAGCAGGCATTCCAGCATGTACAGTATCATAAGACCTCCAAACATTCAAATCAATCTTCAAGTAAAAAACAGAGTGAGGATGAGGGGTTTTAAGTCATCTATTCTATTGCAGTACTGAGCAATTATTATTTTTGGTTGCTGTTTCTGAAGTTTCAGAATAAATCAGATGACTTCAGATTCAACTTTAGAGAAGAACATTTACATAAGGAAAAGTTCCTGCGGAACTACAGTAGTACAGTCTGGTGCAAGTAAGACAAAGGGTAATGTACACTTCCCTAATAGCAAGTTTGTTCAGTCTTTCTCACTGCTCCTTGCTTTCCACTAGAGAACAAATGAGATCTGGGTGCCTTTACCACACAGACTTATGACCTTGCCCATCCTCCCCAACGTATAAAAAACTCTATTGATTACTATCAATTATATTTTTAGCCTCCAATTTCTTTGTTGATGGAGTGGTAGTGGTACTACAAATAAAACTCAATGAAGTATATACCTTATTTTGGCAGATCTGATGGACTGATCTCGCATGAACTTCTGGTATCACTGCTATGCTGCAGCCTGCATTGAGGTCAAAAACTTCCAGTGCTCGGTTGCTGCCAGCTGTAAGTACAATATCTGTACAGTTCTCTGTGTTAAAGTTAAACTGGTCTAAAGGAACAAAAGCATATAGATAGACAAAAAGACAGATAAATACATATCAAGACTCTGTTGTATTAAGTGCTCTCTGAGCAGCACCAAACTCTTACAGTCCTAAAAAATTTATGTCCCAGGCTGATGTTCAATATCACAAAAAAATACAACATTTTTATTCTAATAGAAAAAGAGTAGTAAAGAATCAAATGCTAATTACTTTAACTGAAGTTATTTCCATGTCATGAAGTCCAAAGAACTATAAAGAAATACAAAGGATACAAGAGTAGAAATCATTTACGGCTGAAAGGCTGGTAATCTCCATTGTTGAAGCCATGGGAAATTTCTGTACCAATTTGCAAAGACTTCTCTGTTTGTATCTGCAAAAAATACCAAATGAATGCTAGTGTTAATGAAATAAATTATGATTTGTGGCCACTGGTAAACTCTCACTGGAATCACAAAGCAAACCAAAATGCTTTCTTTCATTACCAAAAATTAAAGCCACAGACCTTTTGACTCATTGCTGAACAATTAAAAAACTTGGTAACAAAACTCATTTGGATGAAAACAAAACATAATATTCGTATACCTAAGACAGATCTTCCATCAGCATGAAACACGAAAACAATCTTGTGTGTATGTTGAAAACAATGAACAGAAAAAGACTCTGTCAAGTACCTATGATCAAAAGCCAGAAACACCACTAGTTTCAGTATAGCATTTCGTGTGCTGGTTATAGGGGCAATAAGAAAGAAAATGAGGAGAAAATAGTGAGGAAAGAATAATTTCCACTTAGGAACAGAACAAGGGGCTGATTACACGTTATCAAAGAAATTTGGCTTCCCAACATACACTGGACTCCTCAAGGTCCTGTGGGATATCTGCCAGCTCCATGCAGATGTTGCAGACATGCCAAGCCCTCTAAAATGGCTTCAGACTTATTTATAAATATCACACAATGCAGAACTGTGTTGTGATTCAATCTGATTAGATCTTTCTGTCTACTGAAATATATCAGCACAAACAACATGGATCTGATCTTAAATCCTCCAAAGTCAACAGAAAACATTCCTCCATGGATATGGATATGGGTACGTTGAGCAAGAAGAGTGTGGTTTCCATAGAAGTCACCTAAGGAATACAGACAGCGTTGTAATAACTGTATGGGGTCTGGTTGGGGTGGAGTTAATTTTCTTCACAGTAGCTTGTATGGTGCTGTTTTACGTTTGTGACCAAAACAGTGTTGATAACATACCAAGGGTTTGGCTGTTGCTGAACAGTGTCTGCACATCATTAAGATATTCTGTTTCTGACTGTGCCCCCAGAGTGAATAGGCTGGGGCAGTGCAAGAGGTCAGATGTGGACATAGCCACGACCACTTACCTGAATTATCCAAAGAGATATTCCATGATATATAATGCCAAGCTCAGCAATAAAACTGGGCAGGGAGGAGTTTTTTGAAAGTAGCCATTGCTCAGAGACTGGCTGGCTATCGTTCTGCTGGTGGGACCTACTGAGCAGTTACTTTTGCATCACTTGTTTTTTTTTTTTCTTTTTTCTTCACTTATTAACAGTCTTTATTTCATCCCACCAGTTTTCCTCACCTTTATCCTTCCAATTCTCCCCCCGCCCATCCCTCTGGGGGATCCCACTGGGGGAGAGTGAGTGAGCAACTGGGTGGGGGCTTAGCTGCCAGTGAAGGTCAACACACTGCAATAACTCAAAATTTCTACATTATATTCTAAATGCAGACACTTCTATGCAGTAAAATAATTCCAATGTAACTGTAAGTATCATAATTCCATTTTAGCATGTCTGTCTACTGACAAGGCAAAAGTCCATGTGTCACACACTTGTAGGAATAATTACTGGTTTTTTCCAACAATGCTAAAAGTTGGCAAAACTGAGATCATTTGACAGAAGCAATACCTTCATCAGCTGGATCAGTTCAAAAGAAAAATGGTTAATGATTTGCTTTTGCCTTTGTCACTCTCGAACAATGATCTGCTGAGCTTTTCCAGGTAAGACATTAGAGCTACTTCAGCAGTGATGCTGAAGCAGAAGGTAAAATACAGTATTTTGCAATTTAATCCAAGAACATTTTGTGATTTCCAGAAATATTTTATTCAAGTAAACTACAAAAATAAGCTGCTCTAGACTTCAGGAACAACTGATTTATCTCCATTTTTGGGTAAAGATATCTAAGCTAACTTTAAATAAGATGACTGAGATAATAGGAACAATCTAATAAAGGCAGCATGAAGTTTGCTCTGGTCTAATTTACCCTGCTGAAAGAGGCTTACTGAAACAGATTGCTCCTAAATGCAAGAACAATTGCTTTGAGTTAGCTGAAGTATCCCTCTTCTGCAGTGCAGTCTGCTACATAGATAAACACCTCACAGGGTGTTTCCCAGATGAAGGAATTTCACCTAGAAAGCAAACAGTAAACTGAGATTCATCAAACACAAGTTCGGACAAAACTGAACCAAAGTAACAGAGGAAAAAAAATAGAATAAGAGTACCCATTAGCAAAAATAAGAGGAATTTTAATATATTTAAGACCTCATATTTTTTGGACACAATGCATTTGCCACATGTCCTATACACATTCAATTCAAAGCGTAAGTCAACTTAAATTCAGCCAGGCATTGTGGACACACTGAGCTGGACACTGTACATTGGTTCTTGCCTCTTAGAGATTAAAGTTTATATAACAATTTGGGTTACCTTTTTATTGCTTTAATAATACATCCATAAACTAAGAATTAACAGGGAACACAGAAGATGGGTAATCAGATTGTTGAAGAAAGGTATTCCATAATTCAAACAGACACAAGACAAAAGCTTAAATGCCACTCACTTGTAATATACAAGAACAGAATTCGAGAATAAATTTGTATGTTGAAACACAAGCAAAAGTACACAATCTACACTTTAAGTTAAAATAATTTCCTGTTTGCTATAGAAAAGATTGTTATATATCTTACAAAGGACTTGTTGAGGAATTAATCAGAGGAATTAATACAGTAAGGGCCAGAAGGTGTTGTAATGTTTATTAAGATAAAGGTGTGAAGAGCACACAAAGGAAAAGCTTTTCAGATTGTTGAAAGATACTACAACTTATCAGTAAGAAGGTGCATTTAACAAAATAACTGTGCTTTTGATGGCAGAAAATCAACAGATTTCTGTAAATATAACAAGGGTTATTTTGTAAGTAAAAAAAGAAGATAAGAAAAGGAAAGAACTTCCCATCAGAAGTGAGTTCTGAAAAGAAAATTATATACAACTAGATTAAGAATTCCATCTCTTTCTTTGTTGCAGGGTTTCCAATATGAACGTACTGTCACAGACAGCTGTGAAGTTGTTTTCAATTATTACAAAACACTATAAGCCCTAGAAAATGCTGCACAGATGAAGACTAGGAGTGTGAAGTGAATATAGGCAAAATTCCATCTCACAAGTAACTGAAGAGGCTATTACAGCCTAAACGCGCCCTAAAAATTGTCTAAATTAGACTAATACCTCCTCAAGGCACAGAAAAGCTTGTGATGGAGGCAAAAAAAAAAGGATGAACAGTGTCTTCTTACTACATTTTTTCCAGGTCTCCAATTCTATGCACAGCACATAATCTCAGCTGACAATCCTATCGATCAGGTACCCAAAAAAATCACATGTCTTTTGATATACTCAAAACTACAATTCTGTCCTCCTTTAATGCCTTCAATATTAGAATTCTGAAAATAGTGTAAATTACTAATGTTTGTAATCTCTTATATCCCACATACTTTGGGGATGTAATGATTTTTGGGGAACACATTTACAGTATATAGTTATTTTCAGGAGACTGGTATATCTTCAGAAATAAGATATAAAACCAGATTCTAAGATACAAACACTTCCTGCAATGATTGCAGAGACTGATGTGTCTACTTTCCAGCAGATTTGAAGTCCTTTGCTGAAAGCATTTTTCAGGAGACACAGATAAAGCAGAAACATTTTGATGACAGACAAAAACCTTCAATGTATGGAAGTATGTTACTATGCTAAAATCTGAAGATGAATAGACACCAAAAAAAACCCTCCCAAAACCCCCAAAAACCAGCTTGATGCAGATCTGACATTTAAAATTTTACAGAAAATGGCTGCACATGACAAAGTCAAAACTAAGTGACAGACCACAAACATCATCAGTATAACAGATCATAAGGTTTCAGGCTGTTAAAAACATTTTTGTATGCACTGTAAAAATTAATCTTCAAACAGTAGTCCCATTATACATTTCCAGACACAGCCTTGAGTTCAGTGAAATATGAAAACCAGTTACATGAAAAGGAAAAGAATCACTTCATCTTCTGGAATGCTTAGAATTCATCGTAACTGAAAATTATTCTCTCTTAGACTACAGAGGAAGGTGGATGTCATTCACTGACCCTATGTAATGAATCTTAGACATAAGAAAAGATAAGCACAGGAAAATTTAAAGCATTTAGAGATGGTTGCTGTTAAAATGTTGTTAGAATTCATCTTATGACTTATTTACTTCTTCACTAGTTTCCATCCTGTTTCTGACAAGAATCAAAGAGTGTTTAAGTTCTTTGATCTAATGGCTAAAGCTCAGAGGAATCAAGCTTATTATCATACTGCTGAATCAGGCCTCTGCAGCTCATTCACTTAAGAAGTTTAAAATGGCTTACAGTGGTTTGCATGAAAATAATTATCCTGTTAAACATAAACTTTCCAGAAGTACCTGAAAGGTACGCTCTCCTATGCATACTTAGCATGCTGAATTTTAACCCTACTTACCATGGCCTTTGCTTTATCCATCTATAACATGTGCTGATATAGCTTCCCCATTTAATCAGAGTAGATATTTTATCATTACTTCCCTTACTGTGTGTATGATTACTACAACCAGTTGCTAAATATAACGGCTTTAAAAGGCACTGTTTCTGTTACTGGAACACAATTTTCTCCTTTTTAAACTTCTTTCAAATTGCTCATGATGATCTTTAAAACAACGCATAAAACTGTAAAAATGAGATAACAACCCATAGATGTTTTGTTCTGCTCAAATTCTTACGTGACTTAAAAGTAACTAAGAATTAAAAAAAAAAATAAACTGAGAAGCTAATAGTTGTACTTCATATCACCATGCACAACTGCTGATGAGAGTGGAAATTCAATAGTTAGTAATTTTGGAGAAGGTAAAGAAATTTGTTTAGGTTGTGAATCATTTTGAGATTAATCATAGAAGCAGAAGTCAGGACATCTGCATTCTATTCCCAGAATTGCAATAAATCTCCTCCATGGCATTTGTAAATAAGGATATATTTAAATAAGCCAATAAAGAATACAACATTCTTTTTCTTATTTCCATTTCTTGGTTTTAGCTTTAAAACTAACCAATATTTAACCATTTAATTAAGTTGTTGTGATGCTTAGTTAATTAATACTTATAGGGACCTCTTTGAAAACTCTGCAGACAGAAACAGTGATATGATTTGTCATTGTACTGTCTTCACCTCTGAAATACAGTAGCATTCTATTGGTTAGCCAGACTGCATTGCCATACCCTTCTAATTAAGGGTATAAAGCATGCTTTGGGGATAGATCTAGCATTTTCTTGAATCAGTTCCATTCAAGCATTCTTCCAAATTTGACTCAGAAGGCAAAATGAGAGAGTTGTGAGAAACAAAAGGAATGATGCAGTGCTCCACAAAAGAAAGAAATGCTGGGAAATGAACTGGAGGGTATTCACAAGAAAATGTCAAAGCAAATTAACCTTTAATACCTTTTTTATAGATATATATATAACCAGGCCTCAGACTGGTTTGTGGATTCATTGTAATGTCTATGACTGTGTGGTTGGTCTTTTGGCATTACACTAATATCCCAGAGAGTCTAATTGCATATTTTTGAGTTAGTGTTAATGCATCATGAAATACTGACAGCATGGTAATAACAAAATTCTGCTATAAGCACAATCCTACATACATACTTTAACAGCTTTAAACCAGGATATTATATGCTTCTGACAAAGCAACTGGAGCAACACAGAACACAGGTGAAGTTCAGTGCCCAAGTCCTTGCAAAACTGCTTGACTGTGTTCTACAATTACATCAGGTTCCATAGTACCTTTAGTCCTTTAGTTTCTGAACTAACTAGCTTGAAGGTAGTTCAGACCAGTCTTCCACAACAGTAACTGCCGTATGGATTTTCTTCAGGTTACTGGATACTTTCCTCTAGGAGGCATGGGTATTAGTTAAAAAAAAAAAAAAAAAAAGAGATATCTAGAGCCAGCACATTATATACTACAATAAAAGTTCTTTATTAAAGCCTAAGGCCTCATGAATAGAAGGGAAAAATATTTTTAACTATATCTTAAAACTGAAAGTAATCAGAAGAGGAAAGGATCTAAAAGATAAGAATATTGTTTTCCGTCTTCTTTTTCTAAGTTCCTTCAGGATTGCCTGTATAATTTTTAAGAGTTAAGAATGGTATGAGAGAAGCAGTTGCATGCCTCAGTTTCCAAATATTACTTGTTTATGCCATGAATAGATTTTAAGCAAAACTGGCAACAGGAATAACTTTTCCTGCCTTCCAGGTTCCTCCTGTACTATTACACTTTGCTACAGGGTAAGCACTTCAGAACATGAGATCTCTGTAGAACCAGTTATGAGAAAAGAAAGTCAAGGGGGAAAAGAATCTTTTTAAAAGAACTTGTGTCTGTATTTCAGTATTTTCTTTTCATTTTATTCGATTAGTTTTACCCTCCTAATGTAATGTATATACTATAAAATCAAAGCAGGAAATTCGGTATTCCTTTGACTATTTGCTATATTCCCATTCCAAATAGAGTATATGACTAAAATAATATGAATAAGAGCCACAACAACACCCTCCATTAAGGATTTTGACCAAAAATGGGAGGTAAAGAATCACAAGTGACAGTGGATTAACTGTAAAACTAAGCAGGTGACTGAAAACTGGAATTAATTAACCATTTTGAAGAATTTATAAACAGAACGTAGATCATAATCTATTAGCTACTTTTCCAAACAAGAAGGAATTTCTGTTCTTAAAAAAGTGTATTTTAAAAGAGTGATATAATTTGGCTTTTTTTCTCCTCTTGTTTCCTGTATGACTGCTTAAATTTTCAGTGAAGTTCCACCTACCAGGTTCATGCCTCAATCCAGGAAAGCACTCCTATTCAAAAACATATTTAAGCCTGTGCTTAGTATGTTTTTCTGTGCAGTGGCAAAATTACCAAGGAAATAGGCCAGTTTTTCCCATCTAAGGATGCAGCCTAATACCATGAACAGACAGGACACACCATTCACAATATCAACTAACAGACTTCAGTGTTGTAACCTTAATTCTGTTTGTCCTTCCACTCAAAATATAAAGTCAAAATATCAGACAAAGAAAAATATCTCTTCAAGGTTTTTTTAAATGCTGTTATGTCTAATCATATACATATATACATGCATATATATATGTATGTAATGTAATAAAGTCTTATACACACAAATACTGCTGAAAACAAGCAAAAGCAAATGAAGAGCAGAGAAACTTAGTAAAAGGATACAAGGAGAGTTTTAGCTCCAATTATAAACGAAAAGAACAGAAAAGGTATATCAGACATTTAATAAAAGAATTGATTCCCAGTGAGAAAGAAGGATGCCTAACACAGGGACAAAATAGGATAGTAAGAAAAGTAATTAGATACAATATAACAGTTGGAAAGTCAGTGAAAATTGCGAAAGTGATTTACTTCCATTTGACAAAGAAGGAAGAAAACAGTCACAGCATGGTGGAGTCTCTGAAAGAAAAAATATATAGAAAAATTCCCACAAGAGAAAGACTTGCAATAGCTTCTCAAATGTAACTTAAGACATTAATGCACACTAAGATGTAAACAGGCAGAAGGTAAAGCTCAGAAGGTCCCAAATGGTAACAGTAACAGTAAAACTGTATTTGCACCAGATAAGGTATGCACTATAAAAAAATATTTGACATTTCAATTTTTTTTCTATTGTGCCAGAACAAAGACATTTTTACTATTAGCTTTTACTATTTGTTCAATTTTTTGTTCTGTAATATTCTTGCCCTTCACCCCACCCCACCTCACCACCCAAAAAATCCCAAATCAAACAGTGCACGTACTTTCACTGGTCTGTTAATGGGAAATTTTACTCACCTTTTGAGGTCATCCTTGGTTGTGTCTAGATGGAAACTTAATAGATGAAATTCAGCTCCACAACACAGCAATATAAATGAATCTATAAAATAAAACTGTGCAAAGCGTACAGTCTTATGGAACTTCTCTTTGCCCTGAAATGCAAAGTAAATTATTAAGAATGGATTCTAAGATACTGAATATTTTTTGTCTGAGATTCCTGGTGTTAAGGCATAGTCTCCCTGTTATCCTTACTGTATGCCAGGAGGTTAACCTACTATGTAGTGGCCCTTCCTATTTTTGACATCTCTTAATCTCAAAATAAAGTTTTAATTCTACTTAAATTAGTTGGCAGTAGAGTTAATAGTGTCTGTAGTCAACTGAATCTAATACAATCTAGCTTCATACTCTAAACTTCCATTTGAACTGGGGAGTAGACTATAAAGTCAAGCAGAGCTGAGCCAATGAAAATAGAATATACAGAGCAGACAATAAAACCAAAACTTCCAGACATGCCCACTAGTTTTGTCTGCCAAGATTGTTTTTTTTCTTTTCATAAATTGTCATGATAAAAGCCTAATTTGAAGTCAATGGAGACACCCAGATGGTAGTAGCAGTTTGAATCACCACCACTCAGTAGCTCTGAAAATCGGGCTGTATGTTCCTTCTACAGAGCTGTTAAAATGGAAGGCGGTCGAAGTGCAAAACAGTGTCCTCTGTGAACCAAACTGACAGGAGTTTCTAATTACCAGAATTAGGGCAGGTTCATTATTGCAGACTGACCAGACCCTTAAAGTTCTGTCTTCTGATGCAGAAACTAACCACTTCTTGTCATGACTCCAGCCAACAGAGTTAACTGCACCATCATGACCTAATAAAAATAGTAATAGACATATCATAAAGCTCGTTTCTTGCATTTATACTTTCTCCAGAGTTAATTGTATTGTTTTAATATAATTGTACTCAATATTAAAATACATTTTAAATACAGGCTTCAAATGGTTGGATTGAAACTGGTAGCAGTAAACCAGTTATTGATTTTTTCTTCCACCAAAAAACATGGGAAAATGTCTCTCATTAATAATCAAGATTCACAAAATTAAATAAGGTCAAAGAAATACCAAGTTAAACTACCTGAAATCTCATATGCATTTGTATGACATTGCCTCCATTGCTATAAGGGAGTTTGTATGAAAATGTTATAACAAATATAAAAGACACATTGATCTTTTACAGATATTCACATTCTTAAAGAATAAAAACTAGTATCTAAATTTTGTTCAGCTTTCTGCAATTCGGATTTGACTCAACTAGAACTATAAAATAGTTTTAAACAAACTTGTAACAAACAAACTTCCTTCAAGTTAACAACAAAAACACATTCACAGATCTTTGCTATCACAGTAATGTTAAAAAATTCTATCTCCACACCAAACTGAATTAGAAGCACAGAAGTGGTTATAATGTTGTTGTCATCAATAGCGAGTCTTGCTGCTAACAGTCATATTTCTGACCTTTTTCTGTAAAAAAAAAGTCTCAGAGTGAAGTGCTGAATGGTATTATTATTCCAAACTGTGGCAAAAAACTCCACAGCAAATAGAAGTTTGACCATCAACTCCTAATGCTTCTAATCAAGCTTCTAAGGTTTGGCCTTCATGTGACAAAGCTGTCTTCTGATGCAGAGCGGTCCAAACATCAGTCTGAAAAAGACTACCCAAAGAGGGATATTCAGGGAACAATTTCATCTGACTTCATCCTTGTGTTGGTAACAGAGTGAAGAAAACAACCATCACTGACAACATGGCTACCAAATATTTCAAAGTGCACCTGGGGTGGTTAAGGTCCAGAGCCCTATGACTTGGTACTATACCCAAATGGCAAAATAGAATGGTCGTCATGCAAGACCACAGTGCTCTGCATCTGCTTGTTAGCCAGTATTTGGTGCATGGAGAGGCCCAAAACCTGGCATCTAGCCCACAGTGTTGATGATCGTGTGTTATTTTACTCTGACTAATAAGCTGTCCTGAGTGTTTCATCCTAGATTGCTTCGTCTCTGCCCATCCCTAATAACAGAGGGTTGGAAGCCCAGCAAAATTGAAGTTACCACACTGGAGCTTGTAAAGACTGGTTTATGTTTTGTCATGGGCCCGCAAGAAATGTACTGGTGTGGAAAGGTTCAGCCCAAAGAAAAGTCCTGAATCCCAGGGTGGTTACTCTAGCACTGGAGGCCTTCAAGATCTGAATCAGGCTTCATACGAACTTCATTTTTAATGCTTAACTTCAAGTGCTTAGAAACTGATCTTACAGAGCTGCAAAGTGCCATATATTCCAGAAGACAATGTAATTGATGGGATGATGCTTTAAAAAGAAGGAAGACAAGGCTACTGAGATCTAGAAGGATTTTATCACATAAAGCAGTAAAGGAACTCACCATAGCTATGGCAAATAAATACTTATTGTAGAAGTCTCAGTAACAGAATACCTGACTTTGACTTTGTCAAAGTTCAGTGTTTTAAAACACAAAATATAAGCAGGCAGTTACAAAAGACTCACCAATCTATTATCTACAGATAATGATCATTCTGACTCTAATTTTTGAAAGTTATTGGAAGAGCATTTTCAAGAAACATCCTTGAAATTCAATTTAAGAAAAGATACAGTATTACTTGAAAAGAGAATCTGACTATCATATTATAATGAAATTTTATGTTAAACATGATCTGGAAACCACTTAAGACCTTGCAAATTTTATTCATTAGGCTTTTATTACTGAGCTAGCTGTTTGTGTAAAAACACAATGAACATGCCACTACCACAGCTTCTGCAGGACTGTCTCATTAGATTAAAAAAAATATAACTGCCTGTTTAAAAATCATAGATTAAAGTATTATAATCTTCAGTTAATAGCAAAAAGCTTCTACAAGAAACAGACTTTCCAGTTGGGTGTCACACAGTTAAAAACAAGATTAGAAACTTACAAAGAACTTCAAAAGCCAGAAACATCATCCAGAAGCTAAAATTATTAATTTGATCTAAAATTATATTGAAGCTGATCAAAAATGTCAAAAAAGAAGAAAATATGTCAAACAAAACTAACAAACTTTGGCCCATATTATTCTAATTTTTCCAGATGAACTCTGATGAATTTCACCTAGCTGTAAAACATTCAAAGTTCTTATGCTGCCCTCTTGTGCACATTTTCTCTTTAGTCAACTGAAGTTTTATATAAAAAAAATTTGATTGCTTTAAATTACAGGAAGACTAATCTATTTATCTTAGCAATTAAGATCTTCTATGACAACATATATCTATAAAAAGGCTTATAAACAAGATATTTTAATTCCAGTTACGAAAGACCTGTAGAATTTTCACCAGAAAACTGCATAGGTACTGGATAAGTACATATGTAAGTTCTATCCTTATTTTATTCTCAACACAAAGATTTATTTGGGGGCTTTGGTTTTGCAAAACCATTTGAAAACTTGAATTATCTGAATTTAAGAAAAAAACAAAACAAAACCAAACCAAACAAAACCAACTTACCAGAATACACAAAACAGTTTTCCAAAGTGGTAAGGAACATGAGAAACTTTAGGAAAATCGGAGGTTTGGAAAATTGAAAAAGCCATGCAAAAAGCTTAAGAATCTTTACACTCTAGGTCCCCCAATCCCAAAGCCCAGTGAAGGAGATGCCAGCTGGCTTGCAAGAGGCCAGTAAGCTTCAAAACAGGTGTTACTCAGAGTTCCCCAATCCTGAAGCACATTGAGCAGGACAGCAGCTGGTTTTGAAAGACTTCTTCAAAAAGGCCATGCTGGCTGTAACTCCTTTAAAGATGGCCAATGTTACCTGCACTTCACTGTAGGACACAGACACCTGAAGAGCCAACACTGAACAGGAATGCAGAACTACTTAAAAACTGTAACTGAGCACTTCAGGGAACAAAACTGAATAAATTAGGCTTATAGCAAAATTACTGTTGTTATACCACTCATCCCTGATGGTGCATTATAAAAAATATCAGCCATATTCAGATGTTAATGCTGCCTTGAAATTGAAATTTTTAACAGAATAGATATCATTGCCATTTCTTGAAAAAGGAAAGTTTTACATTACCATTGATTGCAGCTCTGAATAAGAGCAATGCATCATGGCTTTTAAAGAAAAGAAAATACATTTATTATGACACTTCAAAACTGTACAAAACTACATGAATGAAATAAGCACGTAACTGATGGTTTGTGGTTCCTACTCCCCTACAGTACAGTATCTGACAGTTTCACATTTATGTTGCTTTTGAAAAGAACAATATGCACAGGTTGCATTCTTATGCTACCTAAAGAGCCTGAAGTAGAATGTGGTTTACACTTCTTTTCAGACTGTACATCATAAAAAAAGACATAGAATAAAGAATGAAAGGTATCAATGAAATAAATTAGATGATAGTAGTGCAAAACTTAAGAAAACTAATAGAACAAAGCCAATTTTTAGAATAACAATTTAGTAATAAATCATTTTTTTTTTAAAGCAAGACAAAGAATTAGTACTTGACACCTTAACTACTGGCACCAGAAAAAGCTTCTTTGTGGTAACATGAAATTTGGTGCAGGTCACTTTACTCTTCTCATCACAGTAAATTAGCCTGCATTTGCAGAGTACTGCAGTATTTTAGGGAGCTCTGAATGTTGAAATATCTTATAAAATCATAATACTTAATTTTACTTCATAGAAAGACAAAGCCTTTCATTAATAATGTGTCAAAACCTAAATACTGTTTCCTTCATGATTTACAGAGTAACATGACCTAAGGTTTTCTTTCAAATTTAGAAACCTCTAAATTCTAAGCTTTTTTTTTCTGCTTTCAAATGTGTCTACTTAGATGAATATTTTTTCTTATTAAGGTGTATGTTTTCTATTATTGCCAATATCGAGTCATTCCTTAGATATTATTTAGTATGTAGCAAGTATTTGGAGGTATAGATGTAACAAAGTCAATGAAATTAGTATCTTCATCTGAGATGAAACAAAGATAAACCCACCTATTACCAGTCCAAAATCAATGAAGCCTAAATAAAAACAAACTCCAGTGAAAAAAACATCCAAAAAAGGTATTTCACAGAATTGAAATGTCACTTTCTGCAGCACATAATCCCTATATACATTCAAATAAAACCAGCCTGTCTAACTTCTTGATTGTGGTTCACAGTAAGAGAAGCTCGATCTGAGATGCAAAAGACAAACTGTGAAGAACAGCTACAGAACACATACTGTACAAAGATAATTTATAGCCTCATGAAATAATTTTGCAACACTTATGTTCTATTTCATGTTCACAGTAGCCCTGCTACCACAAAAATAAAGACTTTAAAGTTCTCAAAAATCATTTACATTTTAGCTGCTTCAGATTGCTTAAGAAAGATGTGTTTAATAATCTGAAGAAACACTGAATTCTTTGGGTACAACTTTGTTAAACTGCTGTGTACCAAGTACTGCAACAGTACTGTATCATTATTTTTATAGAAACTTGAACAACTAAGGGAAGGAAATACAGAATTTTGATCTCTTTTGGTTAATTGCATTTTTTTAGAAATCCTGATCTTCTAAAACTACGTTAAATATGTTTCAGATATATGGAGTCCCTTTGGACAAAATTACTGCTTTTGTTCCATTATTACCTAAATAACAAAATTATGCCAATAAAACCACAAAACACTATTCCTGCCTGCAGTTTATATGACTTGCACTATGAATTTGCTCAAATTAGTCAGTGATACATGAAGAAAAACATCTTTAAAAGCTTATGAACTTTCTATTGTGGAAAAAAAAGACCAAATTACCCTGCCCATAAGGCATATTTTCATCAATTTCCTCACACGAAGAGGAAGATATCAGTAATGTTACCTTTATTACTGGCCACAATGCCGCAACTTCTTCCAGAAAATACAATTAAAATTACTCCAAAAAAACCCCACTTTTCAGAAATCAGTTATCAGAGTTTTTACTTAGAAATAATTTTCTAAAATAACTTAAAATAGTCTACTTTTATACTTCTTAACGCCTGCTAGTAAATGACAGTCATCTTCCATTATGAACTTCCACAGTAAATCAGTCCTGCTATATGAATTTTAAGTCATAACATTTACTGTATTAAAACTTTAACAGATAGTCCTTGTAGAAATTTAGATTTTGGGTTTTTTAAGGCTCACTTACAATGTTAAGTAATGCACATGTGTTTGCACATGCATACACTTTTGCAGATATGGATTTCTCCGTAGGAATAGTCCCTTTTTTTTTCAAAGAGTTGTTCTTTAGAAGTTTGGGACTGCAAACCAAACACATTTTTTGCCAAGCCATTGCAGTCAATTTTTTGGCTAATAATCTATTACAATATATTACTGCAATATGCACATGCATTATCATTACAATATACGGGCTTAATTATTTCTATTTAATTATTGTAATAAACATACACAATGCAGATTGCAATATATATAATGATAAATTACTGTTTACCTCCCAGAAAACTGAGAAATGGGAAAACCTGGTAGGCAGTTTAATTCTAGAACAAAATTAACTAGTCAGAGAAATAACTTCTACATCTTGAATCAGCAGTATCCCCTCTCCCCCATTCTTCTCAAGGTGATGGAAGTGCAATCTTTTAATTACTATGCCATATTATGTTAAACTCAATTATATACCATTTCTTTAATACTGCAATTCATAAATTTACCTGAAAAAACATTACATGTATCAGTGAGACTCGAATTGAGTATCAGTACAGTCTTGTCAGCCAGGCCGCAAGCCAGCATCTCTCCATCCCCTATAAAGAAGAGTGTCTAATGATTCATATTTGAAAGCAACAAGGACCTAATATGCTGTTTCTTTAAATCATATATGTCACTACAACAAAACACACACCAGATATTCATTTCATACGTTTAACACATATTTTGTATGAACATCACAAACTCATATTGCAGAATTTGGTAGGAATTTGTGCACAATTCATTTCTTGTCCTGACGTATTCTCAAAACAGTTATTCATCACAAGGCAGAAACTCACTTTTCACAAAAAAGGTGCTACAAAATTTAAGTGCAAAAATGTTTAGAAGTCATTTAAATCTACTTCCTTACACTCATTTTTTTGTGTCTTCTTGTTAAAGTTACATCACCTTTTCTTACATATTAGAATAAAAAGCACATATTAATCATTCTGGATCACTTCTTAAAGATGATAAATTTCCTTCTTAAGGTAATCCTAAAAACTATCCAAGTGCAGTCAGATTGTTCATTTATATTGGTAATCAGCAGGGGCACACAATGACAGGACAGACTCCCTTAATGTTTACCTAATGGTAGTGATTTGTGAAATTTAACTGTTCACTCAAAAACTTTTCCTGAAAAAAATAAAATAATAAAGAGCAGATAAATGAACCAATGGGAGAAAATAAGGGAGGGTGGAATAAGTGAAGATAGCAGTGAAAGAAAGTAAGGAAATGAAGTGCAGAATTCAGATCAATGCTAGTAGGTTCACTGTGAAAAGTATTTTTAAAAGAGGTACCACCTGAACACTCCCTTCATAAATCTCCTGACCACCTTTACAAAGGGAGAGGGAATATAAGTCATGCTTGACTTCACCAACATTACCCACTGCTATCCACTGTCCAAGTACTATCCCCATTGCAGGTTCAGAATACTATACTCCACAACACAATTTTTTCCCAAATTAATCATGGCAATATAAACAGGTAAGAGATCTGTATTTCTAATCTCTGAGTCATCTACTAAAAGTGAATTTTAAATGGGACATACAATGGGGTAGAGGTATATGTTAAAAAGAGGCATTCCAGAATCTTTTTTTCTGTTATAAGTTATTAAATGAAGCAGTATACTAAACTGGCAAAGAATTACTTTATAAAAATATTTTAAATTTTATCTGATAAGCAATATTTCAGCTGACTTTTTCTCCAAATACTAGTAATTGCATATACTAAATAACGCTATTAACATACCCATCACAAAAATAAGACAAGTAGTCCTGGACAAAATAGTCCAAAAAATGCATGCCCCACAAACTCAAAGGTATTGAAGTCTTTGAGCTAAAGGGTGGTGCTCTTCTGCAGATTTCCCTCGCTCTTCTTAAAGTTTTGACAGTATATATTTTCAGCATGAGAGCTGATTGGTAAGTATATCAGGTAAGTGATATAAGGTAAGTCAGACACATAATTAACAATACATAAACCTTCTTGTGCATACAGAATGAGAGAAAATTTTGCGTGGTATTTTGGAGGCTTGTTTAATGGAACATCATCTCAAATCCTGAAGAAAACTGTTTTCTAACAGAGCAAAAAGTCATAACTTGTAACACCTCCAATACTCCAAAAGGATGTTTAATAAATCCAAGAAAGTTTGCATTAACTCATTAATGTAACTTTACAACCTCTTAAGTTTTACTTAAGTTTTCTATTTAATTTTCTTTCTAATATGTTTAAAGATGCACATAAATATTAATTATTGTGATTCATACTTTACAAAGACCACTTGAAAGATTGTTCCAAGCTGCAATTCCAAGTTGCAAATTTGCAACAAAAAATATATTGTAAAGCTAGGAACCATCTGGTCAAGACAGACTACAACAGTAACAGAACACCTCTTTACAAGCTTACAATAATGTGATTTCTTTACTCCAAGAAAAAAAGTCTCTGTGATTTTTGCTAAACCTTGTTTTGCTAAACTGTGGTTGTTCAAGCCTGTGTGTGCATTTGTGTGTGTGCGAGAGACAAAGACAGAAAGAGAGAAAGATGTTCCTTCCTCAGAGTAAGTAACAGAGGATTTATACTTAAAATGTATTATCGAAACTATAGTGATGCTTTTCTTTGCTAAAAAGGAACCTTTACTTTTAAGCTCACATAACATTCTTAGAAATAAGCTCTCTGCAACTACTTTCTTTCAGGAGCCATAAAAATAATTTCTTCCCCTTCTCTAAGGAACATTTACGGCTGGAATATGTTTTAGAAAAGTTACTGATTGCATCTAACTGCTTTTATTTATTGAAGATGAAAGTTGCTCTTGTCCCAAAAATATTTATAAAGATATAAATTTTTAAATACTTTGAAAATATTGTGGTTTGCAGAGTGTACATTGACATAATTGTATACTTGGTAATACATTTGATTGCTAATCTAAGAAGTGGTTTCTGTATAATAATATTTATATGGATTGGAAATGACTAAATGTATTACAAGACTCATTTCTCCCAAACAGTTAAGAAAAATACCCTTCTTTGGATTATATGCAAGAATTCTTTCTTTATAGTTTAATACAGAAAAACTGAATAATTTTACATAAGAAACAAGAGTATTCTTATTCTTTTGAAACAGAACTTCAGCTTTTAATACACCTTAATGACACTAAGTAAATGTCTCAGAAAATAAATTCCTTAGTGAAAGAACTTGTTAGACTGCTCATTTTCTACTTGTAGTGGGAAATTCATAGAATCACTACAAAAGGAAACAAGACGTAAAAATCAGAAAAGAATTAAGATCCCTCTGCATATGTGTTAGCAGCTTGCATGGTTTTACAAGTTAAAATATTATGATCTAACAGTACATGGTATTGCCAAAAAGTTTTCTGGGAATTTACCTAGCAAATCCATGGCCTAAATAAACCATGGCACACAAATTTTGGGGTTTTTTCTGCACACTGGCACAACTGTACCTTTTATAAAGCCTGTACGTACCGGAATACTGAATGCAACGTATTGGAGTTGGTTTACAAGTAACAAATATCTCTTTCTCACATTTGATTGGAGGAGAACTTTCCAATGGATATTCTTTATTTTTACTTCAAAGAAGGAAAAAAGAGAAAGAGAGGAAAAATATTAAGATATCTAAAACCACTACATTTTCATTTCAGTTATGAAATAAATGTCCTTTGGGAGCTATTCTAAACCTCGTTATAAAAATATTTCCTGGAAAACTTATGTTAAATCCAAGATAAGAGGCAGAATGAATTTTAAATTGTCATACTTAAATTACTTACATCACCAACTGTTATGAACTCATGAGATCAAGAATTAACATGGACTTGTACATAAAATCAAACTTCTTAAGTTGCACATCTATCTAATAGAAGAAAATGCAAACTCTACCTAGTTGTGACAATAAAAAAATCTCCGTATGTAAAAATAAGAATTACATTGATCATCTATTTAACAAGATACTAAAAAAAAACCACACAAAAAATGAAGTGCTAAGTAGCTTAACCTATCATAAAATAACACAAACCAATCTTGAAATTATCTGAGGTGCTTATCTAAAGGCTTGCCTATGTGTGCAAGGATTACAAGTCTCAGTCTTGAGCTATTAAGTGTTTAAGAAACAGTTTTTTAAAAAGAGAAAAATGATGGCATTAATCATTCTTTACTTTCATGTTTATACTACATAGAACAAAGACTTTATATAGTACTAAAGAGAAAAAAATGTGTGTAATATCCCCACTTAACATACCACACCAATTAACATGAAAGTGTCAGCTCTAAAAAAACATTGGTTCTTTGTGCCCACAGTGATGATGAATGCACTGGTCAAATTGTACCATTATGCATACTCTGTTTAAATCCATTACAGTAAGCTTTCTTTAGCGTAAGATAACATGATTTTAGGGGTGAATGAGGCATATGATCTGAAATCACTGTCACTGTGCCACATTCAGTTATTTTTCTGACTAGAATTGCAGTTTAAGAGCATGTTGCGACTCTGCCTCCAAACATATTTAGCACCTGTTCTCCTTTCTAGCAACCAAAATCTAAGAAAATATATGTGTATATTTTCTTTTATATGTAAGACTTACTCAAATTTAATTGATAGTCCGATAATCTGAATCACTTGGTACAGTCATTATATAGCAAATTTACAAAGCCTTTTCGTTCCAGTGATACTGCTAACTAAAAAGTTCCAATGAGAGAAGCAGCTACAAACCATATTTCCAATAGAACTGTATTTATCCTCATTTTAATTTGTTTCTCCTCTAATGGAGTTGCTAGATTACCTACCGTTTACATCTGGTCTTCCCCTTTGACATTTCTTTTTTCTTCAGATTATTTGGAGAAAACATGGTCATTCTACAAGAAAGAACACAGACTATCCTATATGAAACACTAAATGTTGCATGAGAGGAATAGTTTATTTCAAACAAAAACCAATCCTACTTCCTTCTTATTACTTATGTCTACTAGAAACGTCAGTAGGTAAGATAATGTACACATTCATAACAAGATAACTTTCTAATGATCTAATGCTCGAGTTGCACCTCAGTTTTGCTTTCTGTGAGTTATTTGTTGGATAATGCATTCTGAAGGTCAAAATCCATTCATATAAAGTTCTCAGACATTTCTTTCTGCAAGCTGAAGAAACAAGAAGAGTTTAATGATATGAAAGAGACAGGATGCCTAATACAGATTTTGGAAGGAAGTTGAACACTAACCAGAAGCTGTGAAAATTTTGTTTTACAACATATTTTAAAAATTATTTTGTTTGATAACATCATATCTGTTTTTCACAGGTGGTTAATTTCACAGTCATGAGACTACATGACTCCATTATGTGACAAAATATCACACACCAATAAAACAGACAAATATATCTACTCACTGTGGTGCTGCTGTATAACCTGATGACTTAATTTTATTATGGAAAACCAATGGCTGATCTTTCACTGTGCTTTTCACTCCTATAGCAAAATAAATTAGTTTTCATTAAAATGTTTTTTACAGTTAAGGTAGATACTTCGTTAAGCTAACACAGTAGAAATATTTGATGTCTCCTTATGTTACAAAACACATTTATGACCAATCACTCTAAAATAATGTTTACTGAGAAAAGGAAAGAAATACGAACTGTTATGCTGCATAACAACCCTCTTCCAATAATATCAATAAGTAGGAACTTCTTTAAACTTTGAACTAGCAAGGATATTGTTCTGATGAACTTTTCTATCATTCATTCACAAATGTGTTTTGTAGTTGTCTATTTTATGCTTAGACTTTATATGCACTATCTATAATATAGTCACACCTTATATTTGGAATAAGGAATGTATCTAAAGATCATTAACAAACTGGCTAGTGGGTACACATAAATGTTTGGGTTTTCATGTGGCTTAAGTCATTAACAATGTCTGCATTCACACTACTAAGAAGCCTGAAGGGCAGCCTCCAGCCCAAAACTAAATATGAGCATTTCAAACAACAGAAACATCCTAATTAAATAAATGGTGTAAAGGGGAAAATCTTGCTGCTATTCCCAGGGAAAAACTTCAGGTGCATTGGGAGTGAACTCATGGGCACATTTACCTATGCTGAGGGTAGAAGCTCCTTCAACTCCCACCAGCTATCCTTTCTCTTTATGTAGCAATGAGGCAGAAAAAGGTCCCTTCTGGGAAGCTCCCAGTACCACTTGCCATAAGACACTATAGGATTTCCCTGCAGCACCTAGTCTGTCTGAGTGTGAGGTGTCAACAAATGTAGTACAGGCATCAGTGTTGGGTGTCCCAAGCAGCCTGGAATTCTAGATAAAGCACTGTAGATGCATTCTCAGAATATCATACAACACTAAAGATATAACCTTTGACATTCTAACAGCTCCAACAAGGACAATGAATATAGTAAAAATAGATTATTTCTACATGTCTGCAGCTGCCAGTATTTTTATATCTATCCTAAAGAAAAGGTGATGATGAAAAAATTATTTTGTAGGTATTTTTTGGACTTTGCTTTATTGTTGCTAAGCAAAGAACCTACAAGTGCTTCAACAATAACTGGAAGACAGACCTTTTTTTTTTTTTAAAAACAGTAGGACATTGAGACAAAAATTAACTACCTAAACTTGCAGGTATTGACAAAAGACTATTCAGGACAATAAAATTAACCAAAACAGGTAACAAAAGTTAAGAAAGAAATGACAAATTTTACAGAAAAATATATTGCATGCTATGGAAAAAGAATGACTTATGAAAAATTTAAACATTCTACACTCTTTAACTCTTTTAAAACCCACAGAAAGTTCTCAGAGGATTGTTTTTAAAACAAGAAAAATACCATCATTTTCACTACAAATATATATGTAGGATATGAAATGCTACTAGAAGCATAAAATTTTTCTTACTAAAATAAAAATATCATGCAATATATATTTAAAACAGAAATCAATATATTGATTGTATTAGGTACCAGCCAGTTGTGAGTCAGTTACTGTTACTAAAAATATAACTTTATTAATTCATTTCAAGGTGGGTCTATACTTACCAAGTGTTTTATTAGAAGGTTCTTTCATGTTTTTCTTTAAAACTTTACACAATGGAGAATTTGTCAATAAAGAATACCTAAGTTATAAAACCAAGCACGAAAATTGATCAATACAATGGACAAAAGCATCAGATTAGTAAAAGATGTCAAAACTTCTCTGTAGCTATTTGTCTATATGTGTGATACCAGTGAGATTTCCATAAATACAAACCAGGCATAGTGGATTAGTTATCAGCTCAGATACCCAGCAGCACAGACAAGCCCTGGGCCCTGACTACATTCACAGACCATTGCATTTATATGATAAATCCCATTTCTGTGAATATTAACTGATGATGTTATTATAAGCACTGAAATCTGCACTTCACTTCCCCTTTATTATACTATATAGAGTATAAGTATATAAGTATATATATATTACATATATATTATAAGTATATGTGTATATATATAAGTATATTATAAGCATTGAAATCTACACTTCACTTCCCCTTTGTTATATTGTATATAGTATATTCTAGGGTTTTTTATTGTCTTCAAGATGTCAGTGTTTTCCTGGAAATTATCTACAGGCACATGAAGGACAAGAAAGTAGTAGTCAGCATGGATTCACCAAGGGGAAGTCATGCTTGATCTACTTAATAAACTTCTATGATAAAATGACTGGCATGGTAGATGAGGGGAGAGCACTGGACATTGTCTACTGTGACTTCAGTACGGCTTTTGACATTGTCTCCCGTAAGATCCTCATGGAGAAGCTGATGAAGTATGGGCTGAATGAACACACAATGAGGTGGACTGAAAACCAGCTGAACAGCCAGGCCCAGAAAGTGATGATCAGTGGCACAAAGTCTAGTTGGAGGACAGTAACTAGAGGAGTACCCCAGGCATCAATATTGGGTCCAATTCCATTCGACATCTGCGTTAACAACCTGGATGAAGGAGCAGAGTGTACCCTCACCACGTTTGCTGATGACACAAAACTGAGAAGAGTGTCTGATACACCAGAAGGTTGTGCTGCCATCCAGACATCCACAAGCTGGAGAAATGGGCTGGCAGCAACCTCATGAAGTTCAACAAGGGGAAGTGCCAAGTCCTGCACCTGGGGAGGAACAACTGTAGGCACCAGTATATGGCCGTAAGGAAGACAAAGCTAGGCTCTGTGCCTGGTTCCCAGTGAAAGGACAAGAGGCAATGGGCAAAAATTGAAATACAGGAGGTTCCATCTGAACACCAGGAAACACTTTTTTACTGTGAGGGTGACTGAGCACTGGCAAAGGTTGCCCAGAGACGTCGTGGTGTCTCCCTCCTTGGAGATATTCAAAAGCGTTTGGACATGATGCTGGGCAACTGGCTCTAGGTGGTCCTGCTTGAGCAGGGCAGTTGGACAAGATGACCTGCAGAGGTGCCTTACAACCTCAACCATTCTGTGATTCTGCGATTTTTCTCACTCAGTACAACTAAAGCATGACAGGAAAACAAGAAAAATAAAACCATGGCAACAAATATCACTGTACAAAACCATCTGATGCACTTCGGTGTCAGGAAAACAAATGCATAACCCAACTCAGAGGAAAAAAACATATAAAGTTATTCCGTACCTGGCAATAACCGATAGACTGTCCTCATTTCCACACAGGAGAAAATCACGCTGCTGAGTTCTCACCAATGCAGTGAGGTTAACTTCCAACACAGCAATCATATCTTCAAACATTGAGGTGATCAAGCATAAAACCTGCAGCAATTATACCATAAAATAACACTCCATTTACTTCATAATTTAAGTTCCAACACTGAAGCATTTATAATGGAAAATTAAATAATTTTGTGCCATTTATGAAAATTAGTTGAAAATATCCCTGGGTTTAGTCTTGCAGAGCATTAAACAGTGAAAAGTCGTTAATGCTGTCCTGCAAAAATGTGATTATGTTGCTTAAATATGTGTCTTAACAGACTTGCATGCCTAACAGTCACAGAAATTCCAATACCTTTTACAACAGAGATATTTCTGCAGTAAGAGTTGTGAGAAAAGAAGCACACATGGAAGAAAGATTGGTTTCAGAGACATGCTGAGAACATGCTAAGAACTGATTTTAAAACAAAATTTTGTTTATCTTTAAAATAAAACACTGCTATATTAAATATGTAGAAAGGCCTAGACTTATCTCAGTTCTGTAGGAAAAATGTAACATCAAAGATGAAGTATACAAACAAGAATGCTTTTTGTATCCTTAAAAGCACTTTTAGTGACTTTCCACAGAAATTTTCTCACAACTCAAATAGTTTTCACAGATTTATTGCAAAGATTCAGAAGCAGTTCATCCTAACATCTCTTTGAGAAACAAGGTGTAACAATACTTATATCTTTTTTCCCCTAAAAGATTGCCTCTGCTCCACTAATGGTCATTCTTGACGTTCAAGGTACACACCGAACACTATAAAAAACAATTCACCTTTGTCTTATTAATCACTTTGGACAGTATACAAACTGTGAGAGCTTTAAAACTACCCAGCTGTTTCAACTAGTAGATTCCATAAAGAAGTATCAACCCTCTCCAGAGAAATTACTGTGTAATTCACATCAAGCAAAACAAATGTGTACATTAATCTGTAAATAAAATGCAAAATTAATACTTATTGAAAATAACTTGAAATGTAAACATTCATTAAATCAATGTTTACTTTATACCCACCTTTCCATTAACTGCCTTCCTTGTTAATGCACATGATCCGGCAAACCAAATACTGAGGTCACTGTAATCTTTACCAAAAAGAACATAGTGCTATAAAATTGTATTTGCATTTCAAAAGAAAAAACTATCACTAAGACAGGGGAAAAAAAATTCCTCATACTAATTTGACATCACCGTAATCCACTGTCTTCAGTGTATATCCTTCTAGTTTACCCTCACATTGTAAAGTAGGAGCAGAATAACATTCCTTGTATTTAACACTCATAAACTGCAAAATCGGATAAAAATTCATTGCTCAAAATCGGATAAAAATTCATTGCTAGCCACTACAGAAATCTAGTGTTGACACATCTTCTGAGACAAGTCATCAATGCCAGAAAAACATACAAAAATGAATGAGAAAAAACATTTTAAAAAACCCACTTAGTTTCTACTGTAGTCCGCTATTTCACAAACTAATTCTTATACTAGTTATATCAGATAACAAAAGAAAGCAATCACATTATGGTGTAGTCAGATATTTTATAATCATACCTTTGTAAGATAAAAAAGCTTCTAATTCAAAGTTTGCCAAATTAATTATTAACAAGCCAGTAGAGCTTCCTATCCAAAAATAGCTAGTATTCAGGGCAGAAGATCTATTAAAAAAAGAATAAAAAATTATCTGAGTATAATAAACAAGCTTTTCTCACTACCATACCAGACACAGAAATTGTTTTCTTTAATACTTCTTACCCAATCCCAGTACAACAATAATAATAAATGACACCAAAAAATAGATTTTAAATTTACAGCATTTTTTAAAATCTGTAGCTCAAAGTAAAAAGTTTCAATCAAAATTGGTGAAGTTCTGAAAACTAAGAGCAGAACACAATCCTTGATTTTATGTAAGTGCTCATGGCAAGTCTAAAACACCATAGGAAATGCTTTTCTTCAGAAATTACTGTGGTTTATAACAGTTAGGAGATGCTGTCAAAGCACTGTATCCACAAAGAGTAAATTGAAATAAAGAGCAAATCTACGTATATTCTTACTTTTACCACCTGTAAAATGAACGCACAAAAAGCAGTGAAATTTTAAGGTGTGTTTGTACATAAAGTACAAGAGAAAAACCAGCACAAACTAAGGGGAAAACAAAACAGACAAGCCCAGAATGTCTATCTCAGTCTGTGCTTAGTGGCATTAGTATTGCAGTTAAGTAATGAAATCCAGCCTTCACAAACACCTCAGACCAGACCAACACGTTACAATTTCAGTCAACACCCTCACAGAAGAAAAATGTTATCAAGTATAAGATGACTATATCAAAATAATGGTTGCCATTCTCAAAAACTAAAAATGTTTTGATGCCACAGTAAATAAAAATTGACATCAATATTTTAATAAATTTTCCAAATAAGAGTGAGTAGACTTATCAGTATGATTTGTAAAGTTAGACCACAAGAGTTGAAGTAAGGGTATGGAAAAATATAAAGCTGAAACTTGGCATAAAAAGAGTCACCACAGTGGTTTAATACTTCTTTAATAAAAAAAAAAAACAACCAAACAAACAAACCAAAAACAAAACCAGAAACAATCAAATACTTTAAAAGCAGACTGGGAAAGACAGTTCAATTCTGGTTTGTGATACTTTTATGTGCTCTGTATAGTTTTATTTGTGGTTTGCACTACTACTTTCGTGTAGAGCAGTAACAGATTGATTTAATTTCTGAATTCTTTGAATTATTTTTAAAGAAGTGGCACTATCAAGTTATTATGAACAATGATATCAAGGGATATAAACAGGATCTCACACCCACTTTACAATAGTAAAATGCCATCCACTGTGATGGAATTACTCAACTTCAAAAAGCTTAGGGAAGTATGAGACCCATAATTTTTTGCACATCAGTTTTGCAAAAATATTTCATTGTTGCATTTCATTGCAGGCAGGAAAAGTGGTAAATCAGGGATTGGTCAGTTGTTCAGACAAATCTGAACCACTTGCTAGAACCAGCACATGGTAGTTTAAAAATGAAACAGAAAAATACTTATAAATACAAAACTCTAAAAACAAAAGATAATGGAACTGGATTAATAGTAAGAAATTAATGTTCATGGTCGTTTATAAGCAGAACAAAACCTCCAACTGTGATGTGATATCTGAAAGGGTAAATAGTCCTTAGATGTACAATGCCAGGCAGTATCAGGTGGGTATTGGAAAGTGATGTTATCTCAATTCAGAAAATTATTTCCATTAACCTGTTACTGTGGATCCATTTCAAGCAACCATGTCCAAAAAGGACATTGAAAAAGAATTGAGATTGAATTTCAGTAAAAGTTCAAAAGAAAATGTTAAAAATGTTACAGAAAACATGCCTTATACAAGGCGCAAACTATTTATCCAGAAGTGTAGCGGTAACTTGTTCATGAGCTATAATTCGCTATGCAAGGAGGGAACTCGATAGTAGCTGGCTCTAGACTATCAGAATAAAAAACATACTAAGAGCCAATAACTACATGAAAAGAGGGTAATTCAGATCAGAAGTAAAATGGAATGAGTCAGTTGCTGGAACAACTTAACTAGGGACATGGTGGATTCTTTATCACTGGAAAAGTAGCCATCTTTAAAGATGTGTTGTAGTTCAAACCAAACCTATAGTTTTGATGAAGAAAAAGTTCTGATGATTTGAGTGTGGTATTACAGAGGGACCTGGACAGGCTGGATCAATGGCTGAGGGCAACTGTATGACAGCTAAGTGCTGGGTCCTGCACTTGGCTCACAACTACCCCAGGCAACGCTACAGGCTTGGGGAAGAGTGGCTGGAGAGCTGCCTCGCAGAAAAGGACCTGGCGATGTTGGTTGACAGCCGCCTGAACATGAGCCAGCAGTGTGCTCAGGTGGCCAAGAGGGACAATGGCATCCTGGCTTGTGTCAGGAACAGTTGGCCAGCAGGACCAGGGAGGTGATAGTGCCCCTGTACTCGGCACTGGTGAGGCCGCACCTCGAGTACTGTGCTCAGTTTTGGGCCCCTCACTACAAGAAGGACATCGAGGTGCTGGAGAGTGTCCAAAGAAGGGCAACGAAGCTGGTGAAGGGTCTAGAGCACAAGTCTTATGAGGAGTGGCTGAGGGAACTGGGGTTGTTTAGTTTGGAGAAGAGGAGGCTGAGGGGAGACCTTATTGTTCTCTACAACTACCTGAAAGGAGGTTGTAGTGAGGTGGGGCTTGGTCTCTTCTCTCAGGTAGCAAGCAACAGGACGAGAAGAAATGGCCTCAAGTTGTGCTGGGGGAGATTTAGATTGGATATTAGGAAAAATTTCTTCATGGAGAGAGTGCTTAGGTATTGGAACAGACTGCCCAGGGAAGTCGTGCAATATCTGTCCCTGGAAATGTTAAAAAAATGTGTGGATGTGGTGCTTAGGGACATGGTTTAGAGGTGGACGTGGCAGTTAGATTAACAGTTGGACTCGATGATCTCAGAGGTCTTTTCCAACCTTAATGATTCTATGATTCTATGATTCTATGATCTTCTGGCCTTAGCATTCTGTCATTCCATTAAAGTATGTCTGAGATGTACATCTTAAAAATCACCACTTCCTTCCTCTCAATGGTAGTCCTTCTGAAAATGTAGGCACCATGAAAATAACTGTTTGTTAATAATTACTTCAATTTGACATAAAGACAAACAAAATGATCCAGGACTGCTGGATATTTTTCTTCTCTGTTTATAAAAAATTGTTTATATACCTAACCAGAGGATTATTCAGTTATACCTGTACAACCCACCATAGGGCAAAGGGTGGAACAAGTGTTTCCTAAAACATGATGTGGCTGAGAAATTTATCCAAATGACAATTATAAATAACGACAAACCCAAGTTGTTCTATAAGATGGTTCTTGCGGCAGTATCCTGAACAGATTCCCAGGTGCCTGATAATATGGTTAAACTTCTCTTCAGGAAAGAATTGCAATATAAGGATTAATTTAGGTATCTCTCCTTTGCCTGGCTGACCGTTTCCATGGGAAGGAGTAAAAACATCATGCTTTGAAATGTCTGTCTCTCTGACAGAAGCTGGGCTAGAACTGGTTATGTAGTTCAAAATTTATTTAAATTTGGAAGGCAAGCTGACACAGGCACAGAGTGACTTCATCAGACTTATTTCCTTAGGAAAGCAAACTAAAAATAAATTTGGCTTTTTAATTGTAACTTGCTTCTTAATTATTTTTAACTGATCTTCCCTGATCAACTGGTATCAATAAATGCTAAAATGGATATTCCCAATGCCGTTTTTGTACAATTATTTTTCAGACTAGAAATCAGTTTTAACTTTGTATCAGTTTGTGTATGCTGCCTAAGAGTAGTCCACCAAAACTTGCAGATCACTGAATACTTTCTCTGATTTTCCTGTTGCATTTTTAAGAAAATAGTAAGTTCCAGTGAAAATAATCCAAGAACCAATAGGAACTCCTATGAATAGATTCCAGCCAAACACATGGTCGTATTTTAAAGGACTTACATGTTTTCTTCATTATGGAAACATACTAAAAAGTCACAGTGTTCAATTAAGAGGACAGGCAATGATGTTTCCACTGATCCTTCTGGTCTCATGTTGTTTGTTTTGCAAACCTTGGAAGTATTTTGCCCTTCACCTAAGAAAGACGATCAACAATACCAGCTAAGAGAAACAGACAGGATTTAAGACAGAATTAAAAGTAGTAATGTAGCATGAACTAAGACCACATTCAAGAAGTTTCTCTTTCAAAAGATGGATATATCCTAAGAGCCAGCCCTCTTGAAATACCTTTCCTCATTATTATGCTATTTTTAGTACCGTCTTCTTTCAAATACCTAGAGATAAAATCCAAAGAGCCTACTCTAAGAACTGAAAAGGATTTGGCAGAATTTAGGTGCGTTCATCTCAAAAAGTGACTCTGAAAGCCATATTCCAACAACCCTTAAATATGCTGGTTACCTTTCCACATAGCCTGAAAATTCCCTTGACACTAAAGTTACAACATAATCCAAAACCAAGATGGAAAGCCACTTCAGTTTCATCTTCCCAAGGAGTCTCCAATCCATTACGCATGCGCAGTTCACACCTAGGAACTACTAGGACCGAATTTAGCATTAGGCACAGACACTGCATCACTCTCAAACATCTAAAGATCAAAGTGACATCCATATATTTTAAATAACAGGAAATGTAGCAGTCTTTCTCATTAGGTTAGGACCTTAGGATTACTGAAGCTGGACCACTGGGCAGCTAAGAATACAACAGTCACTGAAGACAGAAAAAGAGCAAGCAAGGGAAAACAGATCTCTTTCCCTAAAGAAAGCTCCCTCTTGCTTGCCTTTAGGAGGACATCAACTCACTTCAGCTAGTGTGCAGGTACTCTGAATGCCTCGTTTAGGAACGTGGAATCACCTTGCTGAGGTTATCAGTGCAGTCTTTATAGACTTATTAGTACTCTGTGTTATATCACTAGAAATACCACAGCCAGAGAAATACCATATCATGGAGGCACTGGTATGGATAAAAAAAAAAAAAAAAGAAAAAGAAAAAAAAGGAAAAAACAAAAGAGATTCCTAGAAGCTTCAAAGGTAGCTGAGAAAAGGTACTCCACTTAGACAATGGATGAATTTTTAGGCACTGTTTCTGTTCTCACTGAAGCCTTGGGCAATGAATTCAATAAAAAACAAATACTTAATAGTTCACGTCATGCAATGTTTTATAAGCAGATACATTGGCCAAGAGTTTATTACAGACATACATGCATAATTCTGTCCAGATATGTCAAATAATTCTTTCCAGATATGCCAATACCCAACTTCATATCACCTTCAGTAAGAATTCCATGCCACAGTCTGAGACTTATAACTCTATCACTTATAAGAAATTCTCATGGAATAAAAAGCACATACTCAGTAGCCAATAACAACCAGAATATACCATAAACAGCATTCTAGAAGCACAGTGCTACCTATTTCTTGTCCAGATTTCCACACTTTATTATAGAATTTCTCCTGCTTTTTCTTTAAGTTGATATGTGCCACACAACGGTAATTATGATCACTGATTAAACTGAAGATCCAAAGCTGCAATAAAAAAAAAAAAACAAACAATTGCAATAACCTTTCGACACTAAACATAAAGCTTACATGACTACAAACTAAAGGTCCAGTATTTAAAACTGTTGATGTAACTAACTAATGAATTTTTGTATCTGGAATCTCGCCATGGACTAGAAATTCAATTATATGCATTTCTAAGGTTATCAAAGGATATATTCAATATTAGCAAAAGCAGACGTTATCAATTTGAACTGCACATCTAATTAATTCCCATATGTTTATGTCTTTGAAAAAAACTCCTCATAGACTATTTCCCACAAATAAAAATCAAAGGTAACCTGCATGTAATTGCTCACTGAGTCATGTACATGAATTTCATTTATACCTTTCTCTTTTTAGGCACCACTATAGTTAAATCTTTAATTTTCTTCACAATTCATTGAACGGTAACACTGAAGGAAAACAGCTGGAAAATCTCATGTAAATATATTCTTAACATTAAATTAAAGAGGAGGTGAAATGCATATTCACACTTATCACATTTTGATTAGAATTCCAACATGCTGAAATCATAGTCTCTTCCATTTATTGTCATGTGTTTCATTCTTTGGCCAAAATAGAAGAATCCTTTTTTCTTTTAAATCAGATATATTTATAGCCTCTCAGTGTTCTCCTCTTACATAACCACTGATTGTGCTCTTAAAAACTTTTATGATTTTCAGGAAAAAGTTTCCATTTTGTAATAGATGTCTTATATACCATACATGGTTTATGCTCAAAGCATTGAATTATGCTTACTAACATAACTGCTGCAACAGTTCAAAACATGTGTGCAGATTGTGAAGCTTTTTTGTAGACAGATACATTACTAACAGTTGATTATTTCGACATAGAGACTAAGTTTAATGGGTAATTCTTACCTGTCCCTCAGCACATCCAGTGATAATCTGTTTATTTTCTTCATCAATGAGCAGACTTAGCAAAGGAAATGCTGCTTCAAAAAAGATAAAATTATTTCCAGAGTAGACACAAATCAGGTATTTAATTAAAATACACGATTCAAAATTGAATCCTCCTATTCATAAAGAAGGGGGGAAAAAAAACCTTACAGCAATTCTTAGGGTTGCACAATGTTTTGTGTGGCTTAGCATTTGTGTTGCTAAGGGCTTTCCATTTGCAGGTCTGTGGCCTGCCTTTCACCCAAGCTGCCATGGCAGTGGCTTTCTGCAACCTGTCACCCACATGGCTGTGGCATGGTTTTCAGAGCCCCTGTGGCAGAAGTTTTCCCTTGTTGTTCCCATGCTGTTATTCTCATGGCCTTGCACCTGCAAACCGTGATATTGCAGTTAAGGCAGGTTTTCAAGGGAAGCAATTGCCACAGGCAACCAGGGGGAAATCACCCCTTCTTCCTCTCCTTTCCTACCATGTGGTTTTAGCTTTTAGTTCATGTGAAGTCATCCAATAACATGTATGCACAAAGCTTAACAACCAATCTCCACGCAGCTCGTGCCCCCAAAGTGTGCTCCAATCACCACTAACGGCGCCACAAGCAGGAGCAACCAACAAGGAGTTTGAGCAGGCCCTGTTGAAAACTATATGGGTCCCGTAGGAAAAGTGCTATTGGAAGAGGGGTCCCTGCTGCACTGGAGACAGCACTTGCCCTCCTCCTCTTCTCTCCTTTTGCTCTCATCTTTCCACAGAAGTAGCTTTCACCTTTAAAGTCAATATATGTCATCAGCTACACACGCTGCTAATAAATCTGCATATGGTATACTTAAAGTATTTCCTTCCATGTCATATACAAAACTTGAAGGAAAACAAGCACATAGTACTCAGACAGTGGAACTGTAGCTACAAGAGAGCTTCATTTGCGTATCTCAGTAAATGGCAAGTTACATACACACCCCGTACAAAAAGAGCTGTTTATGAAAGCACACTACAACTATCTACCCAGAAGCACACTTTAAAGGAAAATATATTTACTAATGGCTTTAAAGGATATGTTTACTACTACCTAGTCTACTAGAACTATTTTCACTAAATCAACTAAATACTTCTATAATAATTTTATGTTATTGTTTAGAGAGAGGATTTTTTTGCTCTGAAAAAGTATATATAAAAAAGAAAACATACCCGTTAATACTCCTGACTGATATATTAACTGGCCAGTAGAATAGTCCCACACCTTTAGGAAAAAGAAAAGTAAAGATAAGCACCTACTTAGATCTTGAAGGAAAACACAAATTTCAACGGCCATCATGTGGTGAAAACAGAGAAATGCAACCATTGAAAGGGATGCAATATGGTAAGGATTTTTTTTCAGCATTTTTTTCTAACTACGTAGGGTTTTGTTTAATTGATAAGTATCCCTAGTGAAAAAGGTGAAACTCACCTGGTATGGATATACGAAGTACTTAGAAGTACTTATTGTCATCTTTGCTTAGGTTGATCTCTTAATGACTTAAGCTAAATTAATTAAAAGACATACTTCAACTGGTTCTAGATTTCACACAGGGATCTTGCATAATTTCACAATTTTCATATTGGGCTCTGGGATAAGAGGTCATTATTAATAATAATGATACTTATTATGGTCTATAGACCCACATATAAATCAACTTTCATTATTAACATGACTGTTTCTACGTGATGTATTCTATGCTTAATAGTTGATTAAGAAAGCTAAATGAAACCAAATTTTTCCTCTCATGTTGCTATTTCTGTAAGCCTTCCTCTCCACAAATACTTCCACTACATTTATCTACACTATCATAGCTGAGATGATTGAAAAAATTACAGCCAGACAGTCCCTGCTTTCTAAACATGGCTGTGAACCTTCGTTTAGCTCCCAAGCTTTTCTCTTTGTTCGTGTTTCATTTTTCTCTGAATGTAAACATCATTCTTATGAAAAACTGTTTCCTAAGATCTTTTATCATAAATTTATCTGAAGAGATTCTCACCTGTTTCACCATTTCTTTAGCCAAGTAAAAGGGCTAGGGGAGCATAAGGTTTTGGACACGGCAATTCCTGCAGTCACAGGAGCCAACTATCATAGACCCCATCATGGCTGCCCTCAGGGAATTACCCCTGATCTGCAGAATCAGGCAAAGAAAATAAAACTTGAAGACTTTCTTACTAAATTATTTGAGAGACTTGCAAAATATTTTCATTTGATTGTGCTTTTAGTCCCAACATTTATTGAGGTTAAAAAAAAAAAAAGCAAAACTTATTTACGAGGATTTTGTATAATTTATCAAGTCTTCATTCAATTAACATGAAGAAGCATATAGATCTTTTCATTCAGTCATTTTTACCTTGATTTAATTTCTTAGATCAACATAAACTAAATAAGAAACAATCAATCAGAAAGTCAGAATTATTAGTATTTCCTAAAATTCCAATTCAATCTTTGCCTTTTTTTTTCCAAGACCAGGACAAAAATCAAAATCACATTTTCTCCAGAACAGAGTTACATAAAAATTAAATTTAGAAAAACAAAACAATCAACCTTTGATATAGCAAACCTTAATTTTACTTTAGCTTGTAGAACCAAATGTTGGGCTATGTTTAGAATCATATAGAGGACAATCAGTAGTAGACTAAACTGTATCTAATCAAAGTACCCACATCAGTATCTCCTGGAAGATACACCTGGTTTCACTCAGGCTCCTTGTTTCCCCTTACTAAGTTGTCTTCAATTGTCATCATGTACAGCAGCAGCACTCCATGGTGTCATCATATAAAATGCTGTCTGGGAAAAAATCCTACCAGTATGTAATAACCCAGCCATTGCATGCAATAACCCAAAACAATATTCCCAAAAGGGAAAATTCCAATCAATATCAGCAGCCTCAAAATAAAATGCTTTCATTCATCTCAGCACACTGAAACACTTCATTACAGCCAAACTGGTAAAAATATTTCCATTTGCCAGATTATAATAATAACCAGTTAACACTTCACTGTAGAAAGTTTTGAATATACAAAACCTGCATTGTTCTTTTGAAAAAGAGTAATTAATTTTTATAATAATTTCCTAGCCAGCTCTAAGAACAATGTCCTGATCTCTATAAAGTTGAAGATGTTTTTTGCTTAATCTTCAGAAAATATATTTAAAGGGAAAAAAAGATTACTTCACATATTCACTAAATTATATTTTTTAAAAGTGCAGCTCTACAATTTCCTTGCCTTAAAGGTTCTGTCTTCTGACACAGATATAAGCATACTTTTCTCCCATGTGCAAAACTCAGCAGCAGTCACTGGAGCCAGGTGGCCATCCAATTCAGCTAGTATTGCTTCGTTCTGTGATTAGTCAATTCAAAATGAAAACAGATTAGATTTCAAACTAAAAATGACAATTAGTTAAATGTTTTAATAATTAATAACTGTTTCTAAAAATTGTCAGATTTGAATTTAAAATATTAATTCAATAAGATTTTTCTTATTGAAACTGCAGCCCTGTATGTCATCCTGCTGGCAATGCCACATTACATTTGTTTCTTCAGAATGAATGATATAGGAGTAATTTTTCAGATGTCCTCAGAATGTCATCTTCTTCTAAGTTATTGAGATGATGTTTCACTTCAACTTTTTAGATCTAGTCTTCTATCTGGTATATGATGCATTATCAAGCATTAGTTCATACTTATTTCCATCTATATGATAAAAATTAATGCTTTTACTTAATTATTCTGACATTTCTCTATCATTATTTTACTTGAAAGTGAATAAGTTAAAGCAATACCAACACCATGGCTACAAAGAATGGTATCTCACCTTTGCACTTAACATGTAGATCTGATTTCCAGCACATACTGCCACTTGTTGATCATCCGGATTAAATCTTACATGAAGAACCATTCCCAAAAGAGTTCCTATAACAATTCCTCGAGGTGTTAGCCCTGCAGCAATTTTATTGTTATTGAGACTCAATGAAATACAAAACTCTGGTGCAGTGAGATTCTTAGAAAATTTTCATAGCAATTATCTAACCACAGAAGTACCCCAGTTTCTGCCAGGAAGATGTACAGAACAACCCACAGTTTAATTATACCAGGCTATCGGAAAGCAAAGCACAGAACTATGTACCAGCAGGATTCCTCCATCTGCCATGTTGCCTAGACATGATCCAGTACTCTTTGAGATACTGATAATAAGTGTGCCCATCAAATCATACTTCCATCGAAGACTGCCAGGGACAGGATTTTTGGAGTAGGGTGATGTGCCCAAGGAACCCAGTAGCGACACATTCATTTTGGAGGCAAGAAATCCTGACTGAAGCCCAGCAAAACAGGGGTCTGAAAAATGCTTTTTCCAGGAGAATATCCCAGGCACTCAGCCATCAAGAAGGGGGACTTTCTTTCTCTTGGTTTTAATCCTTCTGTGGCAAAGGGCTGAAAGAGGAAGTACACCACTGAATATCATAGACTAGCTTTGAGAACAGGCTCATGTTTCATCCCTCTCTTCACCACTTCTTTCTGGTCATCTCAGTGGTTCAAGCAGGCCGGTTTCTGCAAATCCCTATTTTACGATGCTGCCTTTAACTATGTGAGGAGATTTTGGACATCTCATTAAATTTAAGGATTTCATAGGCAATAAATTAACTAGGATACAGGCACAACAACTACAGGTGTCCTTTTCTAGGTTTTATCCTAGATGCTGTGGAGTGTTTCCACAATTGATTAACTTGTCAAGATCTACCAGGATGGAGAGATGGCTCACACAAAGAACTCCTTAACCACTTTGATATAGTTAATAAGAACATGGTCAGAGAAAACATGCCAAGACTGTGCAGAGCACAGACTGGGGAAAGAAAGACTATACAGCATCTGCCTGTGGATAGAGAGAAAAAGAGAAAGAAGAAAATCCAGCAGCAGAGAATCTGGCTTTCAGATGTCTTTGCATTAAAACTACACATACTCTTTATCTGTCTGCTGCTGTCTATTTCTAACTGCCGTTTTTGTTTCCTCCAAATTTATAGTCCCATTTTATGGGGCTTTGAGTTGCTGTGTTACTCTTACATGGATTACAATGCAATACTGGCATTTATTATAAAAGCACTTAAAATGTTCATTTTTCTTTACAACATTAATTTTCATAATAGGTAGATTTGCAAAATCAGCGTGGAGTAGAGTACAAGAGACAACTCCCACACATTAAATCATAGGCAAGTCTCTAGCTACAGGTAATGAGGAAGAAACTTTTAATAGTGTTGGACAATGCCATGTGACTCTCAATATTGACATCAAAGGGGGACTGTAATACCTCTCAGTTATCATGCCATAACAATGTATTTTGGACAGAGTGTCATTGGAACTTCAGTGAGTCGTGACTCTGGGAGTCTTGCTCCCTGTCTTTCTCTTTCATTATTCTTCTACTTTCCAGTCGATTTAAGCTTGAAGAGGAGTTAGCACTGCTCCCTAGAATCTAACTCCATTAGTTGAGGCTCCAAACCAAGATGGTGGCCGGGATACTAGAACTTCTGCTTTCTTTGTGTTAGGTCATCATAACTCTCTTTCACTCATGCACTTTCCTCCCAGATCAGATACTGGCATTGCTCCCCCCCCCCCCCCCCCCCAACAGATTCAGACAGAGGGAGAAGGGAAGG